GTATAAAAAACATTCTTCTATTAAAATTAAATAAATAAATCTTTACGACGGTGTAACCGGACTTTAAGTCTATCGGGCGGGACAGCTTGTCAAAATAAGGACTGTCCCGGTTAAATCGGGACGTATGGTAAGCCACGTTCGGACTAATCTATCACCTAACACTAATTTACACCTGCCAACATCGACATAACTCTGTCTTCTGCGTTTATCAGGTTTGGCTTGACGACGCTATCCGATTCCAACACATACAAGACTCACTCCTAGACGAGTACTGTATCTCAATTGTAACATCACTCAAAATATGACGTAATTTAAAATATAGGAAATGTGTAATATTTCGGCGTTTATGTGTTCATATTTAGTTCTGAAATATCGTGTGTCAGACAAAAATAAGAAATTTATAATGAACATATATATACAGGGTGTCCATAAACTCCCTTTACAGTTTTAATTTTGTTATGAAGCCAGTTCTCCGTATATTTTAACCGTTTTTTTAATCAGTAATAGTTCAAGTATTTTTTTTTTCATTTAATACATTTGTAAGGGCCAAAGCAATATATATATGGTATTGATAAATTCTATTTCAATTTTAAAAATTTAGAGACTTTATGAACATCCTATATATATATCTATGTGACGAGCAAGAGGATAGCCAGCCCAACATTTTGAAAAGGCCAATTTTTTTTGTGTAGTGACGTAATATGACGGTTACCCGTGCCTTTTGCTTCGAACAAGGCTAGATAAAGGTGGACACTGATATACATACTTGGAAGAATGAATATACAGGCGTACTTCGCAGTCGAAGTTATCCAAGGCATATAAGCGCACTTTCATCTATATCGCAGGGCCGTAGCCTCTCAGTCCCCGGCTGCGCATGTGGTGAAGACTTGAGCGAAATTACTTTGTATAAGTATATTTGTTCGCTCTGTTCTGCGCACACCTGTTGGAATCATTTTAGGAAATGTGTTTTCACAATGCCATTTATATATATGTTAAGTTTCTATATTTTGTAATATGAAAAATATAAACTATTTTATACGGTCATGCTTATGTGACTCAGGCAAGGCTGGATAAACCATTAAGCAAAATAAGCACGTGTTTAGGGCACCAAGAAAAACAGGGCACCGCATAAATTTCCTAATACAAATTTCCAATGGTACATCAGTGTTGAATAAAATATTTCGATTTGGTCATACGATATTCAAGACCTCAATAATGGCCCGGTTGGTTATTTTTTTTCCTTTTTTTTCAATTATGAAAGTAATAAATACTGAATGAATGCATACTTACCGTATTCGAATACCATGGAACACTAGTTTTACTATTAATATTATGTATATATATAGGATAACCGTACGTCCCGCTTTTCAGCGTTTTGTCCCGCCGTCCCGATAAGTCAGCCAAAAGTCCCGCTTTTCCAGCATAATACACAAACATGTTCTCGTTACTGTTGTTTCTGTGTAGCGCAGCGCTAGCCTGCTTACTGAAGGTGAATGCGTTTGTTTCCTATATATATACAGGGTGGCCCAAAAGTAGGTATACAGTTATTAAACTATTTTATATGCTTTGAAGCTACTTGCAGTTCACTTTATGTTACATGTTAAGCACTACAAATATTGCTTATTTTTTTAGATAATAAATCTAGTGAGAATTTTACATCAGTTTTCTAGCTGCTTGGAAGGTAATAAAAAATAAATAAAATAACTGTATACCTACTTTTGGGCCACCCTGAATTCAAAGTCTCAGGTGCTTAGGGCATCTAAAAGGCATGATCCGACCGTGGACTCGGACATGTATTACCACAATGCTTGCGGCCCCAAATTCCGTTTAGAGAGTTTCTAATCGCATTTTTTTTCACTATATTACCACAAGCCCGATTGTGGAGCAAGTATAACAAATGTTCCCGAGCTCGGAGTCCGATTGCATAGTACCTCAGTGTTTTTCGCCTATTCTTATTCTATATCAACTTTTCGAACTGGCGGTTCCAGAGAGCGTTTTTTCCACATGTGTTATCCTGGCGACAAATAATAGCGGTCAAGAGGGCCTTCGAAGTTTCTGTATCTAATCGCTAATCCGAATCAGCGTCGTAGTGTAGATAATGTGGAATCAACTACGGGTTTTAATGTTATTTACCCAGTTGTATTAAGTGAATAACAGGTCATTTTAGCAATCTCCCCGGCGCCGATTTCCCGTAGAAAGGCTTTACGCTGTATGAGCGATTTTCTGTATCGACCGATCTGTGACGTTTTATTACTGATTTGGATTTCAACCGTAACTGGTATAAAGGCTTGAGTGTATATTTTAATATATCTGTTTGAATTCAACTCGATCGTGCGTGCAACTTTACAATATACGAACATTGGCATTATAATACATTGTGTGCTTATTACTTATCGATTTTAATCGGTTAAGTATGTTGATAGGTATTTGTCTGTCTGCATGTATGTTAGATGCACGCGATATCTCACGAAAGCGAGATTGAATCTGCTTCAGATTTTGCATGTGCTTTCATCTTATCTCGGACCAGAAGCCTATTGATTTTGGGCGAATTATGTCGTATAGTTAGCGAGTAATCAATTAATTAGTGATGGGACACAAGGTGTCACTATGGAGTAGGAGCGCCGTATAAGGGGGATCCCCTAATTTTCGATCGATAAGTCTTCGGTCTCTGACCGATATTCTCGTTTACCTCTTAAGTAGTTTAGATTGTGGTTTTACTCTGCTAACGTGTGTAAAATAGCAATAAGTTGCAAGGACACGCAGATAGAGACACCCAGCGACCATTTGAGGTCCCTCGGACCTGAGTGACCACAATTAGAGTTAGTCACAAATAACTTTTGAAATCGTCATGTTTTTCATGATGTCCCTCTATTGTGTTGACAAATAAATACATCAAAATACACAACCAAACAACATAATTGTAAAATAAAGATAATACACAGGTATTTATGGAACTTATTGGACATTATTCTAAATAATAAACTATCATTACTTTTTTTTTCAAAAAAATTAAAAATTTGTACTAAAAGTAGCAAGGTATGATACAGGAGAATGTTTATTAAATTTCAAAAAGGGGACGGGGCTGGGGCCTGGGGGTATAGTGAATATAGGATTAGTAAAATAAAATTTCCATAATTAAAAATATTTCTCAAAAGTCAGATAACATAAGTGTCACAACAAACGTTTCAAACATGAATGAAAAAAAAGTTGCACAAAAATGCTCTCTCAAATTTCAAAAGGGGTGGGGTCTGTCCGCAACGTGTTTAGGGACGTCTGATTAACACTGCGTTACAGTAGTGTTTTCAGGAGGCAAGAGGAATGGAATCGTGTCGCTGATTTGCTCGGAGATGTGACACATCATTCTAAGCGTTAGGAATACGCTTGCCACTGCACCTCTGATTAAGTTTGAATCCTGTGAGTGATAATTATGTGCAAGAAAATTGCTGGATTCCTCGCCGCCTTAGGGTAGATCACGTAATCGCTGGTCGGTTACGGCCTCATACATCATGAGGAAACAAGTAACTGGCTAACTAATCTCATACCCGAAATGGAAGGTAACCGGACCAGAACCTGTGTATGGTTGTGCCTAATAATTTCAGTAATATAAGATACTTTGCACAAAAATCCTGTTCTCTATGAATTTGTTCAGATTTTTTTTTTGGCGGCGGGGGGGGGGGGGGGGGGGGGGGGGGGCACTTTGTAGATAATGTTTTTCATAGAAAATTCGGTGACAAAAAGGCAGCTGACTGTATTAGCATGATATCTTACTGCAAATCAAAAATGACAATTTTGAAGAATTATCTTGGCAGCATAAACAATGAAAAAAATATAATTCTGTACAAAAATGAATGCATGTTCTTAAGGTTGTTCAGTGAATTCAACAAGTTTGCTCAAACGAATGGCAAGAATGCACAAAAGAAAAATTGTTGCTCTAAAACAGGGGGGGGGGGGGGGGAATTACGGCCCCCAAGGTGTTTGTTGAAAATATCGAAGAAAATAACGTTTACATCATAATGACCCCTATTGTTACATTGTGTTCTTATTATTATATAAACGTCAGCCTAGCTGTTGTAAATAAACTATATTTTTATTCATAGTTTTTCATATTAAGTTTTGAGCCTCTGGCCCAGTCACAAAGTCTATTATCTGTAACTGGCCTTCTCAGAAAAGTAATTGCCCAGCCCTGTTCAAAAAGCTATTTATGTTTATATGGGTTAGCTCAAAGCGAGAACCCGAGTCTCCAACTGAGAGCAGAAAAAGGAAGAGAACAGAAAAAGATAGAGAGTTTCAAGAGACTACATGCCATTTATTACGTTTAACCTTCGTGGAGATAGACGCCAGCAACCAGACCTCGAGGTGAGGTTACTAATAGAACAGTCTTTCCCAACATATGAGTCGCGACCCAAAACTGGGTCGCCTGAAAGTCTCCGTGGGTCGCTTATTTTTCCCACAAAAACTTCCATTTTTGGTGTTGAAGTGTTGTTCAAAAGTGATTTTGTACGAGGTAAATTGTGTAAGTAAAAGCTATCTTGCTCAAGTAAAATCTCGCCACGATTTCATAAACTTACTTATGGAAAAAAGCGCAGTTTTCACACTTTGTGGTGGTTTCTGGGAAATAAACGTCAAATAAAAATTATTATTTTATATTAGTCATTCAATTTCACGACCCCAAAAGCATTAAATGCTGCTTAGTATACAAGCTTATCTTGGGGTCGCAAGTATTACAAAATTTTTTTTATAATTTGGGTCGCTTGAAATAAACATAGGAAACCACTGTAATAGAAACGTTGGAAGCACCACAGAAAAATATGATGAATTTATCATCGCAACAGATAACACATTTATCTTTGCAGCAGATAGGGAAGAATTATAGCAGATAATACAGTATGAAGTATATAAAACAGTAGATAGTAGTAGATAACACATTTATCTTTGCAGCAGATAGAGCAGAATTATAGGAGATAAGACAGTGTGGTAGTAGATAAAACATTAGGACAGTAGGTAGTAGTAGATAACACATTTATCTTTGCAGCAGATAGAGCAGAATTATGGGAGATAAGACAGTGTGGTAGTAGATAAAACATTAGGACTCTAGGTAGTAGTAATTAAGGCAATACAATATAGCTGTGGATAGCAGTAGATTAGAGAATATGAAAGCAGATAACAGAAGATAAGACAGTGAGGAAGAAGATAATACCATATGGGGACAGATAGAAGTAGATATGATAGTGGATAGCAGTCGATAGGAGAATATGAAAGCAGATATAAGAGCCATAGATAGAAGTAGGCAGAATGGATGGCAGTGGATAGCGGTTGAACGAACCAATTCAAGTCAACACTGTCAAGGAAAAATGGAAGTTCAAATGAGGTGGACAAAAATTTATCAAGGATCGAGTCCTAGTTTCCACTTATCCAGATAATAATTCATTTCTTCCCGCATTTCCTTCTTTCCCACGTTGACCGTCGGAATAATTTTGGTCGGTCGAAGAAATTTCACGAATCTGTGAAGGTCTTCAAAACTGCTGTGTTCACTGGTAAATAGAAATTACAAGAATTATTGAAAAAAGGGAACAATGATGTATCTAAAAATATTAAACACGATTGTCAAAATGGGCGCTCTGCTCCCATGGAGCGCTACTATATGGGAGTTATGATGTCTTCTCTAGACATCATTTGCAAGAAAAAATTAAATATTTTAAAATTAAATACCTGGAATTAATTCTTCGAATATAACATCGTAATGCATTTATTTGTTTCGGTTTCATTCAATTTTTTTGTTGTTAGCGAATAAAACGAGAATATCGGTCAGAGACCGAAGACTTATCGATCGAAGGTTAGAGGGATCCCCCAAAACAGCGCTGTTACTCCATAGTGACACCTTGTGTCCTATCACTAACTAATTAATAACTCGCCAATTATGCGACATAATTCAGCCAAAATCAATAGGCTTCTGGTCCCACATATGATGAATGCACATGCAAAATCTGGAGCAGATTCAATCTCGTTTTCGTGAAATATCGCGTGTGTCTAACAGACAGACAGACAAATACCTATCAACATGTTTACCGATTAAAATCGATAAGTAATAATTGATGGAAAAGTGTTAAAAATAAAATTGGGTATTTTATAGAAGACCCTGGTGCTGTGTTGACTGTATATTTATACTAATTCTAGCAATTAGCATTTTCCCAGATGGCCGAGCATAACCTGCGATGTCATCAGTTACAGATGACTGATCATGACCAACCAACTGTGGAGTAATGCGTTATTGAAACTATGACTAATATGGCCAACAGCCAACTGTTAAAAGAGCCTTCCTGAAAATCATAAGTATCTATATTCCTTTATCACATATCAAGCAATCTCACCTATAAGGCAATCCATAAATCTTGACAGGACCGGACACAACAGGTTTTATCCGGTTCAAACCGGGATGTTTGTTATCATGAGTCCAACCTGTAGGTTTGAAAGCCACAAGTTGCTCATATTGTCTGTACTGACAGAGACGTGATTTGAGGTCCTGAAAGACAAATGGATAGTGAAGAACTGGAAATTTCAAGTTCTTGCGGTATGAAAAGCAAAAATAGCAGGACCCGGTCTAACTCTCAAGCTGATTCTCTAGCAGTGTAGAGTCGGGAATCCCCCTCACTTTTTGAAATGTTAGAAAAAAGCATTTTTCTGTATTAAACATGGCAATGCTTCTTAGACCCCCCAAGACTCTTCGACCTCCAGCCGTACCAGGTCTAACTCGGCAATTAGAAAATTCGGTGCTCCCGAAGTATGCGAACCAAGATGGCGGACATCGGAACGTAACATGGGTAGCAGGTTAGGGTTAGGCGATAATTTTTTTCCAATTTTCCTTATTTTAGTCCTATTATCAGTTCGAAGACTAGCCAAGAGCCTCCCGTAGTATTTATACCTAAAATTATGGCCCAACCCTAACCTAGTACACATATTACATCCCGATGTCCGCCATCTTGGTTCGCATACTTCGGGAGCCCCGAAAATTCAGAACCTCCCGCTTTGAAAATTACCGCTACACCCCAGATAAGTATAAATCACTATTTGAATCAAAATTTAATGTTAATTCTTTGCTCAGTCGTCATTCTTCAATTGAACCCCCTATCGCCAAAAAACTCAATCAGACCTCGCACAGCATTTTTTTCAACAAGAAATTTATCACATTCACTTATGGATCCTGAAAAGCAAAAATAATTGCGATATTGTGTCAAAACAGCTGTTAAACAAAGAACACATATTACGCCACACTGCAAAAGTGTTGATTACCGATGGTTAATCGTGTTGCGCAATCTGTGACGTCAGTCCCGTTTCTTTTTAGCCTTACCTCGTACATAAAGAAATGCACAATGCTACTGATAATCCACGACACTCCAGGGTTCAATGATAATAATCAGGACCAAATATATAAAGGTAACTCCTGTTCGCAACTCCATATTACCTCCACAGAAAGCTGCCTCATTGGTATCACATGAACGTTAGCTTCGGTTGCATCTCGTGTCACCAACTTTGATAAAGTATCATCTTGTAGACATTGGATTGTGCGGAATTTATCCTGTACAACGAAAGCTTGACTTCCGATGGCATTTGCGACAGCTGTGAAAACGGAAGTTTTGTGTTATACTGTGACACAGTTGAAATAGGAATAGATAATGGTCACATTACGGAGAGGGCACGGCCCACAAGAGGGGCAGAGAAAAAATTTTGAGTTGGACGTGTAGCTAATTAAAAAATAAATATTTGTTAGATTTGATCTTCTCCACATTTTGGATATTTACATTTTTTTATTTTGAAAAACAAACAACAAATTTTCAATAAAACGTACTTTTGTCTTACTTTCTGTTATTTGTAGCTTATTGTTAGCTAGTTATTATTAGAGGGGTGCAAAACTTGACAAATTGAATATGATACTAACAATAATATAAAAGCTAGTTAAAAACAAGAATCTTTAGGCATAGTGTCTTTCATGATTTCCCTACGCTGTTAGAAAAACAGCGAAAGCCATCCCCACCAGCAAATATCCTTTCTTTCCCAATCAAATAAGTTCCGACAACGAACAAAGTTTTAGGGCAATCTTTTATCTCTGTTGTTGCTATAGTAACAGCCGTATTGATGACATCACGTTGCAATGGAAATCGATATTCTGGGTTCAAATATGTTGTGTCAAGATATAAGGTATCAACTCTGATTCCTGAAAAATGAAGATTTCAAAAATCATACAAAGGCTAAAACCATGTTAATGAACCATTATTTACCAAAACAACTCATACAGACACCCTCAATTACTTTTTCATCATATATAGGCTTACCATATTTACGAGGCAAAAAAACGGGACAATGTAGACTGGGCAAGCCAACTTCGGTTTGATTTCAGTAATAGTTTAAACCAGGGGTTCCCAAGCTTTTTTCAGGACGACCCTAAAGACAACTTTCCTGTGTCCAGTGCGACCCCAGGTCAATATATATATTTTTCATGAAACTTTAGAGCTTCTTTTACTGGACTTTTCAGTTTGGTCATGTGGTGGTATTAGGTAAAATAAGCTAAAACCAAACAGTGATGTCACAATAATCACCTGCATTTTCTACATTCCGGCCTGTTTTACAGTGTGCCATGGTACAAACTGCTAAATTTGACATGCTTTGTCAAATCTTAGATGTTTTGCACATCCATCCTCGACCATAACTCAGCGTCCCCACCGACTCCATGACCTGTTTGCGACTCTACCTACTTATCACTCGGACAGGGGTCGCGACCCCTGGTTTGGGAACCCCTGATTTGAACTTTTTACATGTCATTGGGGGTGGATTACAGGCATCAAAATCAGCTGTAAATCTTATCAAAATATCCTCTATTGGTCTTTGCTTCAAATAATGAAAACCGTTCAACTCCTTAGACAACATGCACTTTGTTTCAGGCATTTTGTTGATTCAACGCGAGTACATGTTGGGTGTTAAATGGTTCATACTTCATATCATAACTATGACATAACAATTCTCTATCTGAGCTAGTAAAGTGAGATGTAAATCAGTGGTAAATCGGCTGCCTCCGTTAGACAAAAACAATATTATAATATTATCAAATAGAAAAAATTATTCATGACTTTCATATTGCAAAATCGGGACATTTACGGTAGGTCTATCGCCGGGACGACAGAAAAACATGCTAAAACCGGGACGTATGGTTAGCCTGATTATATATAAAACACTTGTTTGCTCTGAACAAGGCCGAATAATCATCGCTGGTATCTAATGATACGTAAGAAGTTACTATTTTTATAAGTCCCGGAATCTTCTGCATTGCCTACCCAAATTATTACATCTAGTCTAATGTTAAATATTAGTATAATGTTATCGACTCTCCTTTCCTGAGATAAATATGCAAACCCTATCCTACGTAAGTGGTCACGATGATCGATTAGTTATTTATTCATCAGGATCTCGGGCCACAATCACAACCAGAGTTGACGATTTTTTTTCTTCGACACTCAAGCCCAAGAATAATATTCAATATTATGTGAGGTTTGGCATTCAAGTATCATACAGAAAAGTCGTTTTTTCAAAAGGCGGTTGGATTCCGAACTTCTCCCTCTTGGCTACGCCAAGTTGATATTTTAGTTGAGTTCATGCGCGTAGCCAGGGTCCCCCTTCCTTTTGAAATGTAAAAAATGCATCTTTCAGTATCATACATATAATTTTCGTAGCTTGAGACACATTCTAGACCCACAAGTGATGTTCCCTCTAATTTTTTGTAGTATGTGTGCGCAGAAATTTCGGTGTGTGCGCACTTTTTTGGAAATGACTAATATTTGTGCAAAAACCAATGAAAAAATTTTGGCGTTCTAACCGGGTAATAAGTGGGCCAACAACAACCTGCCAACCGAGCACATTGTTACATTACATCGAAATAAGTCTGTGCGCAGTAAATCTATGCGTGTGCGCAGCCTCTGAAAACTGTGTGCGCGCGCACACGCGCACACCTTAGTGGGAACACTGCCCACAAGTGTCTTGAAAACCCACGTTTCCGGCCGGACTGGCTAGCTATCACGGTCTAACTTGGCCACGGGAAATTCCCCCCCCTCCCCTGAAGATTTCTGGCTACGCTCTTGGTGGGGCCATTGGATTTGAACCCATAGAGACCATGATCTATTGCGCCAACACAGTTAAGTCTGTCTAAGGTTAAGAATATTATACAAATTAGTATTATCGTTGTGTTATTATCACACCTTGTAGAGCATTATATTGTTCCATTTCCTCCTGGGCTCTGAAATCTCCTGTGTGAAGAATGACCCGATTGTTCCGAAGTTTAAAGAGAAATAAAACAGCTCCTGAAAGAAAATATGAAAGTATAATTTGAGATTGAACAGGGCTACTCAACTGGCACGGTCAGAATCAATCCCTTCAATTATATTCAATTTAAAACGAATTTTTTTCTGGATTGTAAGCATCGTTTTTTCTAGTTAATACGAAGGAGAGACATTGTGCATTGCTTTTGTATTTTGTTAAACCTTGCATTTGAAATTTCATTCGCATAATAGAATATATTTTCTGGATTGAGAGAACACAATATATAATCAAGTTTTGTATACGAATCTTTTGTGAAAATATTTAAGTAGCCCCAAGATATGAATATTTGCACTATCGAAGTGGATCAGAATTACAAACATTATTATCATATAACAATGGCACGCTGTTTGTGTGCCGCACAATCAAAAATAACGATTCTACAATTAGTAAGGCTCTTCAAGGAGCGCCCAAAACGTTCATTTACAAAACAAGATTGTCCTCAGGTCCTGACAGTATTCTACCAAGAATACAAGCCTGGACACCCAAGTTGTCTTCCCATTACCACAAGATAATACTGTGAGCGCAAGGATGTATATCATCATAGGACAATCTCAGTTTGAAAAGAATCAGTTTGGTAAAACTACTATTATCAAAGCTTCAGCGCAGTGGTTCACAAACATTTTAAGCTCTTTTTTGTCAAGTCTCGTGCCCCACAGGAGTTCATGCGATGCCAATGAGGCTGCTTTCTGTGAAGGTAATGACCTTCGAAGATTCAACTCTGATTATCACCGTTGAACCCTAAGACATGGCCAAGAAATTTCAAAGTATGAGGTTTTGAAATTTCTAATTGCCAAGTCAGACCGAAATAGCTAGCTAGATTTGGAATCTACCAATCAAAATAGTGCTAAAAGCCTTGATCCATAAAAAAAGTTGGTAACCACAGGGCCATAACCAAATGTGCCAGATGTCGAACCCTAAAGGAAAATCAAGAGCACTCCCGTAGTATGTGCACCAAGATGGCGGACACCTGAACATAGTATGTATAGTATAGTACATAGTATAGTATTCTATTACGAATTCGGGGACTAGTCAAGTGACTCCCGTAGTATTTGTATCTGGAATTATTGCCTAACCCTAACCTGGTACACATACTACGTTCCGGTGTCCCCCATACTACGGGAGTACCAAATAAAGTCTTTCAATAAACATACCAGGACAATGGTTTGCCTCCAACAACGTCACTTTAACCTGGCCAACTTCATTCTCTTCCCCCATTGGCAACCTGACTATAAGTTCTTCAGACAATCTGATTTTCTGAGCCACAAGATTGCCTGTGACCTGAAAATGTTAAACAATATTTATGAATCTGAACACTAATGGCAGTGGCAGCCACTTATTCGTAAGAGACCTATTTAAAATTACGATAACTGTGTCTGGGTTTTTGACTACAAGCAGGGATGCCCAATATCGAATATTTCACTATTTCGAATACATTCGAAATTATTTTTTTCGAATATGAAATTTCGAATACTTCGAAAATAAAATCCACTAATTGAAGCTTATCTAAATGTATGTAGGAATTTCCCTACAATAAGCAATGAAATAACTGCTATCTACAAGTTACAACCTAGCTATATTACCAGGCATTTCATATTTGCAGATTATTGCAGTATAATACCATGAGTCATGTTAACAGAATTAAATTAATACGGCAATAGTGGTATCGATGATGGATTTGAACATTTGCGCAACACAAAATCATCCTAGTAAAACGCCCATACTTTTAAATACCAACCATTGTCCAAATTATTTGCCAAAAAGCGGGATAAAGTATGAGTTATTTTTCCACTCGTGACAATTTTTTCGTGAGTACAAAAATACGAATAAAAAATCAATTATATTCGGGAACTTTACCACACATTTTAAGTCCGCAGATCGCCGTTGTATGTTTGATTGTTTGAGTAATAATACTTTTATTATTTTATAAATATGAAAATAGGAATCAAAAACTATTTATAATCGGGTAGTTTACCACACATTCTAAGTCCACAGATCGCCGTTGTATTTTGTAGATACGAAAATAGGAATCAAAAATTAATATTAATCACGAGTTTGCCACACAATTTATGTCTACAGATTGTCGATACAACCATGAGTTACGTTGAACAAAATTAAATTAATACGGCATGACATTTTAAATGCTGGTACTAGTCATGGATTGGATTATTTTGCGCAACAAAAAATCATCCTGGTAAAGGATCGATACTTTTAACTATCGTTATCAAAATTATTTGCCAGAAATTATTTGCCGGCTGATAAGTTCACATGGCAAATAGGACGATGTCTATTTTTAGCACTCAAAAAGGGGGTTTTCATATAGGCCTCCAATAATACGGGTAGAAAAATTGTGTCCCTGTTGTTCAGTTATGCTGATACGCGCTAATAATTTTATATGTTTAGAACCAGATCATGTTAGTTTGGTAGAATCGTACTCACAGAATTAACTATTTTTAACAATTGAGCGGTAAATTTAAGTTGTAAAGCGGCAATCATTTTGGACAACCTATTAATCCGAATGTTGAAATAATTTTGGAATGTGATAAGTACTACACTGTACGTGCACGGGTTATTTCGCAGCTGTGTTTTCCTGTCCCTGTCGTGTTCTGCTGAATCGGCAAAACGAAAGGGTCGCAAATCACTTTATCTCGGTGGCCGTGTTTCTTTTTAAAGTAACGATAACCGACCTGCGATTAAATATCATGATTGATATAATAATAGATGACCGTACATTTGAACCAATGTACATTTGAACCCATGCGTATATCCACGGGTTCAATCTATATGCGGGTGCTAAAACCCATGGGTTAGGGTTAGTATGGGTTTAACTATCCGTGAAACAAAAAAAATTCCATAGGTGCAATAGCATACAGGTGCAATTGTCATGGGTTCAAATGTACGTGGGTTCAAATGTAATGGAACCATAATAATAAGCAGGCCACATAGAAATAAAATTAACATACTTCCTCAAATGTGCAAATGTGTCGCAACACTATGCGACTACGATCGCACAGAATATAAACAAACAAAGTGCCGATTGTATTTCATCGTCATTACAATACGTGAGACAGCGTAAAAAGACGTTTGAAGATTCCCGTAAAACGAAACACCACGTTTACGGCGAAAAGTGGCTACTATTCGGAATTATTCGAAAATCAGCCGAAAAGGTATTCGAATACTTTGATATTCGAATACATTCGAATATTCGATTCGTTTTGGACAACTCTGACTACAAGTTTCGAAATGATCGGCACATTTTTCGCTGATGCCATGAAAACATACGAAACTATTATCCGGAGTTTCGGTGATCATTCTAGAGTTAGACGCTACAGCTAAACACATAGACATGACGATTTAGAATTAGGGTCTCATAGAGAAAAGATCGAATGAACTTTACCTGGCTGCAAAACACTTTATGCCTCCAATACTTTTTTGTTAATCCCATGTAGTGGTCTGAGTGGAAATGTGACAAAAAATAAAACTGGACTCCTTCCACCACTCCGTAACTGAATGCATCTACAGCAATGTCGGTACCAGAAACAATCTTATAAAATGGACACTTCCGTGACTTGTTACCTGTCAAAAATAGAAGACTTTCTTATATATGCCATTCGGACTTCTTCACTGTAAGAAAAAGGGTTTCGGCAAGCATTAGGTGAAGTTCTTTTCAAATGACTGAAATTTTTCTGGTTCAGCATCAACTACCCTATCACACAGTTGGACTCCAAAAAGCCATCACTACTAAGTTAAGATTTTAATATTTTTGTAACAGTTGAACTCCAAAAAAGGCATCTCCGATAAGTCAGGATTTAATATTTTTGTAACACATAGTTAACAAATTTATTACACAGCAAGTAAAGCTGTTATGATAGGATAGGATTTGCATATTTATTCTGACGATAAGACAGATTAATCAAATAACGAACCACGCTCTCTCATCTGGTTATTAGTCCATGTCAGGTAGGAGATTAGTTATCCAGTTATTATTTATTTCATACGTATGAACTTGATGCTGGAGGAAGACCTAAACGACCAGCGATTATGTGAATTACTCTCAATCGTCTTATACTTGAAATATCCCCCACACCAGGGCTACTCAACTGGCGGATCGCAGTCCGAATCCGAACCTTTTGGGTATTCGATTCAGACCGCGCCTAATTCTTTAATTTGGATCATTAGCCCGACTTCGAAGTTTCCTTTTATAAAATCACTTTTATAGTTTTAAATTTATTTGAAAAGAACTATAACGCCTTAACAAACAATCTTGATTAGCTAATAATCATTAGTCGGCCAAAGAATTGCGTGTTTGAGGATGCCGAAATATAATGTCTGGAAGTCGGACCCAATATTTTTAAAGTTTTGTATGCGGACCTTCGATAAAAATAGTTGAGTAGCTCTGCCCCACACGATTCGAACCCACACAGGGTAATCAGAGGTATGAAGGCACGCGTTTTCCTGAAGCATAGCACAATGCCCCAAATCTTTCATAGTTAAAAAAAATCTTATCAAAATCAAAACTTCCGTTCATAAAACGAGATTGTCCTCAGGTCCTGACAGTATTCTACCAAGAATACATGCCTGGACACCCAAGTTGTCTTCCCATTACCACAAGGTAATACTGTGAGCGCAAGGATGTATATCATCATAGGACAATCTCAGCTTGAAAAAGCGTCTTTAAAACGTTCGAGTTTGAGCGTTTCTAAAACTGAAAGAAATTCTCTCTAAATCCCATGCCCACCACCCAACCAGGGTCTAAAAATTTGTAGGCACTGTCAAACCTTAAAAATTTCAATCATCCCAAAAAATACTGGCTCTTGTGTGTCAGTGGCTATTTGTGCAGAATCCCCATGCATTTCATAGCGTGGGGTTGAGGAAGCCTTCTAAAATTCACCCAAAAAACCAATAGATTACACCAGTAGTCATAAAAGCCTAAGAAAAAAACCTAAACTAATGTATTAATTTCCAAACTTACTTCTATAGAATCCATTTCCACCAGTTTTCGTTTCATTTTTCCGCGAACCGTTAGGATTTTCCTTTTTTACGATTTCTTGAAGCTTTGGTTTTAAACCAAACATCATTGAACCGATATCTCCCTGTTTTTTGCTCTTTTTTGACGAATTTAACCAATTTTGAAGCGAAAAATTTATGCTAGAACTTGACAAAGTATCATCCCCTTTTTGTAAAAGTTTTTTAGAAGATTTTAGATTCTCTGAATTTCCAGTATCTAGATTCCCATTCTGATTTTCACCGTCAAATGTTGGAGCTTCATTAATCCCATTTAATGGACCTTTATCGAATGTTCTATCCATTGTTGATAAACCTGATCCACTTTGAGGGCCAATTTTACTCCAACTGGCACGTATGGGTGTAACTTTAACTTTACGTAAACCGTTTACGTTAGACGGAAAATTATTTTTATTTTTTGGCGATGAATTTGAAAAACTACTCAAACCACTTGTAGAGGATTTATCATCATCATTAATATGACACGATGTGCCATACTTGTTCAAGTTTGTTACATCCTGGGGTTTTATTTTAGCCTTTTTCAAACTTCCTGGAATAGTTTCATTACAATCACTAGTTTTGTTGGAAAATTCAGTATTTGCACTGCTACAGTGTCTTGTAGACGGTTTACCATCGTCAATTGCATCATAAGATGTGCCAGGTTTGTCGAAAACATAAAAATTTGTGATATTTTTGGCTTTTTTTGAACACTGTGTAGCTGTTTTACTGAAATTATCAGTTTTTTCATTATTATTACTTCCTGATTTATAACGTTTAACCCCACTTCCTGGATCACTGTTCTTCCTGCAACAATGATTATTACTTTTTGGATCAATGTCATTTTTCCCTTTCAGATCGATGTGTTCATCCAAGCGTTTCACTTTCAAGGATACAGGGCTCAAAAATGGTAATGTTTGACAATGTGAGAGTCCTTGTAGCATTGAGGACTCCATTATATCTTCCTCATTTGAACAATTTCCACATTTTGAATTATTTTCTACGTTATTTCCCGCTAAAAATTTGCTAGTTGTTATATCTGGATTGCTATCAAGCTTGGTATCTGAGCCAGAATTGTCTCCCAAAAACGTTGAAGATTTTTTCGGAAAATCAGCAGTTTTTTTGTCACAAATTTCCCCATTTTGAGCATCGGAAGTGGAATTTTCATCTTCAAGGCTTGAATTGATAATAATACATTGATCCTTTACAAATCTTTCATTAGATAAATTTGAAGTAATACCCCCTAGTGGTTGTTCTCTAAGTTCAGTCCCATTCTGATTATCCGGATTTGAACTTTCAGCTGTATAACTTTTCTCAGAATGCTTGCCTTCCAATACAGCATCATTTTTATTTTTGATTGCAGAATTTTTACTATTACCATAACTACTGTTCGATTCTGCCACAGAATTACCAGCTTTATCATCCAAGCGTCTCATGTTGAATAAATTTGAATTTTGGTCTAAAATAATACTAGGATTTTTACCTTCAGCAGAGCACTCCTGGGAAGATTTTGCTGAGCTCAGCATATTTTTACTCAAATTAGTAAGACTGATGAAAGGCATAAAATTTCCACTTTTGTCAAACTGGATAGGGCTGACTGGCACGAATCCTGGTCCTCGAGGGAGGGGGATTACCCAGTCCTCACTGTCTTGAGTGTCTAGTGTGGAAGAAAAACCAGTTTGACTTTTTTTAATTGAATTTGGAATTTGGGTAGACTGTATCGGAATATCTTGATCTTCTTCAGGTAGAAAAGAAAATTTTTCGCTGTCAGAATTGGTTTTAATTTTCCCACCGGAATAAATTGAACTGTCAGAGTTTGTCGGATTTTGTTCCGGTCTTTTATTTGATACTCTTTCTATTTTAATTACCGGGTATTTTTTACACATTTTACTCATGAACGTTTCTTTTGAATTATTCTGGCTTTGGAAAAGAGTTTTTTTACCAATCCTAGTTTGTTGACTTGGGGTTAAAGGTTCTGCTTTTATATTTGATGACCATGTTTTTGATAAAATAGCACCATCTAGTGTCTTATCTTTTTCAAAAGTCGACGTTTGTACAAAAGGAGAAGAACGCAATTTTTTCGGAGTTGCATCGACGGTCAATTGTTCAGAATTTTTTTGAGGACTTCGACATAAACTTGATATTGTTTCTTGACTCGTTTCTTCACCGCAATCATCCGTTAAGTCGATAATTTCAATTTCTTTCGTTTCACGGCGTTTTTCAACCTGACTCGCAGTTATCGTCCATGGATTTGCACCGAGCGGAGGTTTAACATTCACGTTCGAATTTTTTCGAGGAGTACGTTTCAATTTTTCTTGTTTAATTGCCAAAGAATTGTTAATATTCAAAGAAGATTTTAATTTTTGTGTAGTTTGCGTAGAAGCTGATACTTTTTGACTAGAAAACACTCCATGTATTTCAGAAGTTATATTTTTTGATTTCTTAGGTTTAGAAATGATAAACAGTTCTGTCTCCTTTGCCTTGTGTTTCCCTAGAATTGAGGATTTTTGAGATATAACAGTGTTTGTAGCATTTGAACTCACAAGAGGAGAAACCGTTACGTTTTTAAAAAAACTTGACAAATCTTTTCGACTTTTTTTTGACAAATTTTGAGTGTTTTTAAACTCTTCTGAAGAAGATGGACTGTCTGTTAAATCGATAAATGGTCGAATAAACGGGGAATGATTTTCATTTGCACTTATTTCTAGTTTTACTTCTTTCTTCGGGGTGCGGCCATGTAATGATTCAAAGAGTCTATCAATACTGCTCATAGAAGTGTTAGATGGTGCTAGAGAGCGTTCAGGGTCGTCCCGATATTCTTGAAGATTTGTATGAGAGTATATTTGATAATGAGATTCCATGGTTGAAATGCAGTCTATTCCGTTCGGACAGTCTCCTGTAATAAAAGAAATAGGTCTTAGATGATGAATAGAGAAAAAAGTCAAAATATGAATCCATTCGATAACAAGACAGTGATGCTCAAATATATGGACACGAAGTCCAAAACAAAATTTTGTGTAGCATCGAGTCAAATCGGGAAATGGGCGTCACGTTTGTCGTGTTGAAAACGGTTCTCACACGAAAATTAAATTATAGCGAAATATTGGATGAAATATCAAAATGATATGCAATGATATTTTGATAGCATTTGTGTAGCATCGAGTCGAATCGGGAAATGGGCGTCATGTTTGTCGTGTTGAAAACGGTTCTCACACGAAAATTAAATTATAGCGAAATTTTGGATGAAATATCAAATCTTATAGGATTTTAGAAAATTTAGGAATAGATAAATAAAAGTAATAGCCTTCTAACGAAAAATACAATCTTACGCCACTGATACTTTAAAAGCAATTGGTCCATTAGTGAATGAGAAAAGCGATTTTTGACAACAAAATTAAAAGACGATCCATAGGTCTACTTCGTGTCCAATAATTATAGGATAGGATTTACATATTTATCCCGGGGGAGAGGAAAGCCGATAAGACGGCTTATCCATATGGCGAACCATGTCCTCTCGTCCGGTTACCATTCCAAGTCGGGTATGGGATTAGTTTTTACTGTATTGTTTGTTTTTCGGAAGCATGGACTTGGTGGTGGAGGAAGTCGTAACCGACCAGCGGTTACGTGAACCACCCAACGACGGCGAGGAGTCCAGCAATCCTCTCGCACATAACCATCCCTGCATGGGATTCGAACCTGCGAACCCACGCAGAGTAATTAGAGGTGCGGTGGCGAGCGTATTCCTAACGCTTAGCCCGTTGAGCCACACCGCCGCATTCATCATTATGTGCCAGATAGATGTAAAAAGGAGCTCGTCAGGCGACTGAAATATTTCCAGCTTTTGACAAACCAAATTTTGCCTTTGTCAAACCAGAAAACGAACATACACGCATAGCCTATACAAAATAAGGATTTTAAAAATCAGGGTCTCATGTAGTTTCTTACCTACATACTTCTAGTGGGCGTAGCATGACAATTTTTTCACGTATCAATCCTAACCCCCACCTGACTACACCATCCAAAAATTATGTCATTACGACGTCACAGTGACGTAATAGAGCCCTTCAAACTATACGAACTGCCATCCAAGACGCGCAAACGAGCACCCGAAATCGAACAGTTAGTTCTCTCGTTTTCTCGTCGCAACGATGACGATAGGAGACAGACCGATAACGTCAGTCAGTTCTTTATCGTCGGCGCCAGAGCCATTTCGGTCGATCGTGCGTATATTTGGCAAGCTCTATGACGTGATTGTGATGTCGTAGTGATTTAATTTTTAGATGGCGTAATCAGATGGGGGTAAGGATTGACATACCAAAAAATTGTTATGCTACGCCCACTAGACGTACGTTAGGTATGAAACTACATGAGACCCAAAAATCAGGGGTGGGCAAAATCAAATATCTTTTACGAAGACCGAATATTTTTTTATACACAACAGGGGTTCAAAACAGTGGAGGTCAAAACTCCCGAGTCGATACAGCCCTAGTTGGTAACGATAAGTCTGGTTGGTAACGATACGACAGTTAATGCCATCAGAGTTTGTTACCACACAAAGACATAATAAAACCAACTGTCAGCTTACTTTTTGGTTTCGCATTTCTCTTCTTACATTTTGTGATATGTTTTGAGGGCGTTGCAATCTTCAAAGTTTTGAGAGGGAACTGGCACACTGGACAAAAAGTTTGTGATTGCATCGAAGAACCACTACTTGTGATGGTTGACCTCTGTGACCCTGAGTTCACCTCATTGGACCTTTGTGAGGAAGTAGACTCCATCAGGAAGTCATCAGGTAATAATAAGTAATATCCATCTACTTGAAAACGTTAACATATAAAATTTTATCTATATGATCCTGAAAATAAAGAAACACATTTACACAAACTATACCATGATGAATAGAATTATAATATTAAAATTTTTGATTCAATAAAAGCAAACAAAATATTTCAAAAATAAACAATAGGTTAGGATGACACAATCAGGCTCAAACAATTCATGCTCAAGTAAAAACACCCCGTAAAATAACCTTGGCGTGCCATGAAACTTGGAAGAACAGGGAGTTTGAGTAAAAGGAAAATCAGTTTTGGGCCTAGTATTTGGGCACCCTCCAACTGCTTTGTGGTCCCTCTGGGGGAGCCATGAACCCTCGATTGGGAATTCACTAAAAGCAAAACGAAATATTCCAAAAATAAACAATATTAACATTTAGTGTAGCATAACACAATTTGTGGAACTTCTGTTGGAAATGAAGGTTTCTAATGCATACATAAAAAGCAAAATAGGTGTCACTTTAGTGTGCGTTCAATCCAGCAATCTGCACCCTGTGGCTCCTCTTTCGTTAATAAAAGTCAATTACTATTAATTACACATCACAGCAGGAATAGGTCGAGAGCAGTAAAAGTAGGTCACATTAACATGATTCAAATCTGTCAAAACAAACTATTTTCCCATTTCCAAGTTCTTCTTATTTCATTATGAACTGAATTATTGTATCATAAGTTGTTTTCCGAAAGTTGACTGACATTAAAGTAGATGTTACGGCTCCAAATAGGTTTAAGTTTGACGGCAAGGATGCCAAATACCGGTAGCTCTTTTAATGCTAAAGTTTGTTGACTTGTGGTTTAATCTCATAAAAGCATTTTAATAGAATTCAGTTCCAAACACAAACTAGAATCACAGATATCACAAAACCGCATACCAAAGCACCACAGTAAAATGGATATAATATTATAACAGTATATCATCGCTTACAAAGAAAGTTTAAAACTCAAAAAAAAAGTTGTCAAGCTAAGGGGGTGACGTAATTCTAAGGGGGGTGGCATGTGCAAAACTCCGATCGCACTGAAGGGTTTGACAGTGATAGTGAGGGTTAAAGGATTTTGAGACACTTACCAATATTAATAAAAGTAAAACATAACAATTACCATTCTCATTAATTTCCTTTTCAACCATTTGCTGTGATAAGTGCGTACTGCATGTTACGATTTGCAGGTTCAGCTTATACACAAATTTTTATAATTACTGTTTTTAGGGGGGGTATATGTGAGGATATATGGTATGGTACATATAATTTTCACCTCATGTACTTGTTAAAACAAGAACAAGTTGATTCAGAAATTGAAATTCAGCAAAATCAATAGGATTCGCGCCCTGAAAATCTGATTCAGTTAAACTAAATGCTGACAATAGTGTTTTACTTCCATTTATTAGAGATTCATTTTGCAGGAGATATTTTTTGTATCCACAATGTATTTCTTCTATAGCTATAATATCTTGACAATTATCTTCGAAATATTTTCCGCGATAATCAACGTCGAATTTAGTCCATTTCAGAAGAGCATGTAATCTTAATTCTTCAGTAAAGTAAGAATTTTTAATTTTTAAAATTTGTGTGACGGAACATTCATCAAGTAAATTAAAGTCATCCAATTCTGTCAGCTCTCTCAAATTTTCTGCAGCAAATTGGTTACAATCATCTTCAATTTTTCCGTTATTATATAATTTCGACATTCTCATTGTAAAAAGGAATGAATCGAGTGTTAAATTTTTTCCGAGGGTTCCAGCAACGGCTGCACAAAAATAATCCAATTGTAGTCTTGTACCAACGTAGAGCAATTCTTCAAATTTATCACTAGAAAAGGGAGTTTCCTTCATATATGTAAAATCAAGGCATTCTTTTATGACATCTGGGTGGACGTCGTTCAATTCTAAGATGCCAGTTTCTTTAACTTTCGGATCATCGGAGAAAATAGCTTTGAAAAAACGAGACGCCGAACTCAAAACATACCTGTGAGCATGAAATTCTTCAGAACCAACTTTGATTACGAAGTCACAGAATTTCTTTTCTTCTCTCATTTGACAAAATTGGTCAAAAATGTTGGAAAAATGACTCATTTTTGCATCTCTCAAAGTCTTTTCATCCATTGTTCAGTGGTTGCAAGAAAACTAAGTTATGAAAGAACTGTGTAAATAAATGAATAGGTGAAATTTTTGAGTCTGGCAAAGTAAATGATGTAACACCTTTAGACAACCGCAAACCAAAAACCTGATGTGAAATGAGAGACAAAACTGTGAAAAAGGAATGTGATGTGAAAATTTTCATGTTTTCTAAGTAAAGTCTGACTGGCGCTAAATGGAATTCTTGACAGACTCGTTTAGTCAAATCAAACCCACTCACTTTTCAAGTGCAGGGCACGTCATATAGGGTACCAATTCCGAGAGTGGCAGACTTTTATTTTTGCAAAAATTATTTTCACATTATTCATTATTTAGGCAGTCATGGCATTCATTTTCACATCACATTTTTGTTTGGCGTTATTAAATCACTTCGCTAGACCCAAATCTTTCTCTCATAACGAGAAATTCGATATTTTGAATTATTGCTGCATTGATTTGGAATTTCAAATTCATCCCAGGTTACCAGTAATTCGACGTGTGGATGAAGAAACTAATTTTTTTATGTGGGGTTCAGCTAGATTTCTGGGGTCTAGTGTAGTTTCGTACCTAACATACGGTACTTCTAGAGGGCGTAGCATAACAATTTTTTGATATGTCAATCCTAACCCCCACCTGACTACGCCATCCAAAAATTACGTCACTACTCACTACGACATCACAATCACGTCATAGAGCTTGCTAAATATACGTACATCCGTCCAAAATGACATTGGCGCCGACGATAAAGAACTGACTGACATTATCGATCTTTCTCCTATTGGAATCGTTGCGACGAGAAAAATAACTGCTCGATTTCGGGTGCTCGTTTGCGCGTCTTGGATGGCAGTTCGTATAGTTTGAAGGGCTCTATTACGTCACTGTGACGTTGTGTTGACGTAATTTTTGGATGGTGTAGTTAGGATTATTACGAGAAAAAATTGTCATGCTACGCCCACTATTAGTATGTTAGGTACGAAACTACATTGGACCCGATTTCTGAAGTTGGTTATAAACTTATCTGTATATGGCCCACTTGTGAAAATTATTGCACACCCAGACACACACACCCCTCCCCCGCCTACTTTTCCGTATATTTGTTTATTATGCCCTGTATTTCTTCTCTTCTTTGTTGTAACAGAAAATCAAAATAAACTTACTTACTTCACTGTCACAGAATAAGCTAAATATGCTCGCCTGTCGCGCTAGGGTAGTACAGTAGTTGGAGCCGTACTAAATAGACGCCGACGTACACATGACCTCCAAACCAAACAACTAATCGCTGAAACGCCAATTTCTTCCCGCCTTGTTGCTATCTAGGTTGAAATCCCGCGGAAATAAAGGGATTTTCCAACACGCCAACGCCAAATTGACGAAAAAAACTGCATGGGATCCCGGTGTTACCAGAACTTCCTTGATTACTCCTCTAACGTTGGCCGATGAGCATTGCGTTGGCTAAACAGCAAGATAGCAGATACAACGTAATAATAACTGAAATTGCAGCAGTGGAGCCTCGTGCAAATAATGAACAGAAATAAACACGCGAACGTGTTGGACTCGCAGACCGTTGCACTTTTAAAACACTTGAGCCATTTAATTCGATACAAAAAAATAACAATTGGAATACAAGTGACAAAAATATTCAAGAGAAAAAACAACTACACCGTTTGGGTGTTGTTGCAAAAGTGATGAAATTACTCAATGTACCGTATGCAAAGAATTGTTGGTATAAATCACACTTGAAGCTCTCGATTAATGCAGTTATAACAATATCTGCGCATTGCCGACCTTCAATCCTCAACTTGTGGACCTGTACACTTTGTGCGGAAAGAAGGGTCACCTTTGAAATAATTGCTTTTGTCAACGCTATAATAGGATTTACATATTTATCCCGGGGGAGAGGAAAGCCGATAGGACGGCTTAATCATATGGCCAGTCATTTGTTTTCGGAAGCAGGAGACTAGGAGTACAGCAATCCCCTCGCACATAACTACAGTATACCCGCATGTGATTCGATCCTGCCAACCCACGCAGGGTAAACAGAGGTGCGGTGACGAGAGTATTCTTAACTCTTAGCACGATGTGCCACACCACCGAGCCTAATATAAGTAGATATAAAACCTCTACGATACACCAACTTCAGAACTTACTAAATCTACGCCACTAATATATAAATATACGCAACATGATTAAGCAGTCTTTTCCGTCTAATAAATATGTATATCCTGCCCTAATTATACGGCACTGTACACAACTCTTGGATTGAAGCAAACAACTCGACGCCTACGCGAATTATTCCCCCAACTTCGATACTATTTTCTCGTTCAAAAACAATGTAGGACAAGTTCCCGCGAAAATGAGGGTATTTTCCACCGCGCCAATTAACAAACACGTGTTTTGTCGTTGATTCATGATAAGGGTCCTATCAGATTTGATAATGAAGATAATTTTGAACACCACAATGTTACAAATAATGACAGACACCGACATAAGACAAAGTAAACACGCAGGGCGGGAAAATGAGCGGTCACGTGAACCACACCACGACGGCAGGGTGTCATACCGTACCCCACGTCGCTACACGATTTGAACCCATTCGCGTAATTGTTCATTTCCCCTATCGCCCAAAACAGGGTAATTGCCAATTTTGAAATATGTGCGGCAACGAAATTTTTAATTTAGTTCTGTACGTGCGAGTACTTCCTATCGCTTTGCGTTGCAAAGCCTATATCGGACTCCAATTTATTATCTATGCCTATGACGTTACAAAGCAGAATAGCAAAGCTTCTGCGGTGAGAACAACATACGTCTTAACTTTAGACCAATAAAACGTTTTGTACCTGGAAATAATAGAGAGCATATGTTAAAAAAATGTGCAGTCCATGCTTCCACACAATTCTTTCTACCTGGCCCTTTCTTTAATAAAGGTTGCATCTGTTCGATTAACCTCCGAGTTTTTTTCGGTGACCGTACATTTAAACCCATGTGTATATCCGCGGGTTCAATCTATATGCGAGTGCTAAAATCCATGGGTCAGTCAGGGTTAGTATGGGTTCAAATATCCTAAAACAAAAAAAAATTACATAGATGCAATAGTATGCAGGTGCAATTGTCGTGGGTTCAAATGTAATGGAACCGTTTTTTGGGGGGTCGGAAGCAGCTTTGTTTTGCCATGTAGTACTTTTTTAATGAATTTACCTTACCTCATTTTGACACATCAGGCAGTTCATGCACATAAACAAACAGTTTTTGAACATTTTTAAACCCAAAACGAGGCAGTGGCTAATCGTATAATTAATCCACTTTATCGGCTTCCATCTCCCCCTAAGAAATTAGGCAAATTCTATTTCTTAGATGGAATAATTCATTATGATTTATACCAAAAACACACTAATTCTAACCCCAAATCTTCTCCAGTCGTTATAAATCCTTGTGAGATTATGAAACACTTCATGTACACAATTCATGCAAATATAATCTACATTGCACTTTTAAAAATATACAACAAACAGCTAATTTATATAACACAAATTATATGAGATAATTAAATAAAACATTTTAATCATCACAGAAATATTACAGTATTATAATGAGGATTATTTTATATGCATTTCTCTCTGAACAAAGCCCTGTGCAATACCCACTAGTATCTCTTACAATACGTGAAGAGATTTTATATTCTAAAAGGACCGGCTAATTCAGTGGTTCCCAACCGTGACCCATGACCCCCCCCCCCCCCGAGGGTCACAAAGCAGTTGGAGGGGGGGCAATGATAGCTTAAATTTAATTTTTGATGGAATTCTGTTATAAACTTTTCCCTTGGAAGAAAATTCCACGTTCTCCATAGTTTAATACTATAAATATCACTAGAATGACGAACAGGGGGGCCACGAGGGCTAAAAGGCTCTGAGGGGGGGCCACAAGCCACAAAGGGTTGCTCTGCTCAAAGGTCCCCTTGGGGAGCCACGCACCCTGTGAATGAACGTATTGTATTCTACATTGAAACCAAGAATTTCAGATGCTCCAGAAGTGTGTTAATATGAAGATAACTAATTTTGCTCGTCTACTTTACATCAAGTTGTGTGAAGGGACTGAAACCTGTGGGCAAGAGGTATGTATATTCAATCGGCTAACACAGACAGTCCCCGAACTCATATTAGAACTAAAATAAGGAAAATCGGAATTAAGGTATGGCCTAACCCTAACTTAGTACACACACTACAGAGGTATCAATTTTATATATCAAATATCGGTTTGTTTTAGACATCCAATTGTGAGTTTGTGACCTTCCTTTTTTGGGTAAACTTCTAAAAAATTACATTCAAATTAAGTTTAAATTACTGATATAGAATAGAACATATAACACTGTATTTTAGCACAAATCATCATCGTCCTCATCTCCTATAAACTTATGTTGAGTACTCGAGGCCTCCATGTTTTGTCCAGTTCCGCCAATATTGGGTGCAGAGTTCATTAGTGCATTCATTTTATTAGAAATGTCTTTCACAGCTGCTTCCTGGTTTGTTACTCTAACTTCCTGGGTCGAGGGGTCATTGTTGGTGGCTTTTATAATTCCTGGGGCAGATTGGCGGGGCTGTTTTGATGAAGAGTAGCCCGGGACGCGCAATGAGCGGGCTAATTTTGCGTACACATTGTCCATAAATTTGAACATTGGTGTGTTGATAACTAAGTCCACTTTTTCTTGATCTTCTTCATTGAACGCCTCGACCAATCGCATTAGAGCGTCCTGCTCTTCAGAGCCATCAAATATATCGGCATAATCACAAGCGGAATGAATCGCCTGCTCTGCTGACACCTAGAGAGAAGTTAGAATTGAGATTAATATTTATGAAAATATCTTTACGAAGCACTGCTAGGAATCTTTTTGCATTGCCTACCCGAACCCGATATATCACACAGACTGTGAGGTTTTTACAGAGATTGTAACATCTAGGGCAATGGTTCTCGAACTTTTTAAGCTACGCCCCCCTTTTTGGAATTTGTCAAGTCTCACGTCCCGCCTCAAAAATACCTTGCTAATAATAAGCTACAAATAACAGATAGTAAGGCGAAAGTATGTTTAATTCAAGAAACGCGTTGAAAAAGAAGGCGGACAGGATCAAATCTAACGTATATTTTCATTTGCTTCACGCCCCCTCAAAAAATTTTTTACACCCCCCCTTGTGGGGCACGCCCAACCGTTTAAAAATCACTGACCAAGGGAGAAGTTACATATGGAATCAACTATATTTCAAGCATGATCCCCTTATGTGTTATTATGATGCTGTGTAGTGCGAAACTGATGAAAAACCTGGAATGTGTCGGAACCAAATTTGTTACACCATGAGTGAGGTTGTGAACTTGAACCACCTAAAAAGACGTAAAAAAGTGTAAAATCCACCAAAAACCCCGGTGAAAGGTTCAAAAACTGTTGAAAAATCCCAAAAACCTTGATGAAATGAATAAATGAAAACCCGAATCTAAAAGACGCCACAAACCACCTAAAAAAGCAGAGTCACCAAAAAATTAAAAGTTCTTCTTACCGGATCTCCGATGTGTAGATGTACGAGCACCAATCCACAAGTTAATCTTGGTATTGATTCCCCTCCCCCATCTGACTGGGAATACAACTGACATTCATGTCCGATAGTGTTGATCGCATCAGATAATTTATTATTTTGAAGCTGAAAAAAAATTTTTCGTGGGCTTTAAAACCAAAAACGAGAATATCGGTCGGAGACCGAAGACTTATCGATCGAAACTGCGGTTTCGATTCATGACTCTATAATGACACCGCATGTCCCATCACTAATTAATTCCATAACTCGCTAATTATACTACATAATTCATCCAAAATCAATAGGCTTCTGGTCCGAGATATGATGAATGCACATGCAAAATTTGAGCAGATTCAATCTCGCTTGCGTGAGATATCGCGTGCATCTAACAGACAAACAGACAAATACCTATCAACATAGTTACCGATCTAAAGATCGATAAGTATTGTATCCCTCGCATGGCAAGATTTAGTTTAGAACAGGGGTTATCAACCTTTTACTAATCTTGTACCACTTTACTGTCTTTTACTCTGGCCGCTTACTACCGCCCACCGCCAAGACCTTTTTTGAAGTGGGGAACAATTGGCAAGTAACGTGATATGAGAGTATTTTAAAATGCGGCACAACATCTTTTGTGACTTACCGTGTTTGCTCGTTTTGTAGCCCGGGCCCATATTTTTTTTCAACCAACTCACTAACCGGGCCCTTATTCAAACGGCCCTTTTTCAAGCACGGGCGCTTGTTATTTTCGATCGTTACAATAATTAATATATTGTTATTTCCAGTTCTCAAGTATGATTTAAACTAGAATACCAAAAATTTTGACTTTTCCTACGCAACCGCAGGTACAAATCCGCAAAAGAAGAAAAGTTTGGCGATGCCTTATCAATATTGAAACGACGCACTTGACTTATTTCCTATTGTTCTCTACCAATGAAAAATCAGCTTTTACATCGGGCGGGTATTCAAGCACCGGCCCTTATTTATTTTTATGTTCTGTTCACACGAGCGGCTATGCAAACGGGCCCTTAATCAAGATCGGGCGGTAAAACGAGCATATACGGTATACCAAAGTACGGGTGAGGGCGATCTTTAAAAAAAGGACTGGTAGCGCTGCAAATCGCTTAGCGAACACATACAGTATGAAAGATAAGGAAAAGGTGTCACCCGCATATTTTGGTCAATTCAAGGTTGTACAGGTACCACAAGTTGGGAACCACTGGTTGAAAATAAAAACATTTGGTTGAACCAGTATTTTCAATCAGGAAGAAATTTTGATGATTTGCGAAGGAAAACGAAGAAATAAAATTTTGTATTCAGAGTATAAGAGATATATTTAGGAACTATGATTCAAATAAACGGTACTCCTGAAGTATGCGAACCCAGATGCCGTACAACCTGAACCTAACCTGGTACACAACCTGAGTTCAGGTTGCGCGTCACCTTGGTGCGCATACTTCAGGAGGTCCAAATAAGCAAATAAAGTTTTTGTGCGAATATACCACTGCCCAGACTTAATCCTAGATCAGGGATACTAACTATTTTTACCAAAGATCCGTAAACAAAACTTCAAAATTACTGGGGTACAGTTTTTTCAAAAATTATATTTCGACATCATTAAATACACACTCCCTCGTCTGGGTAATTATTATTCGCTAACCAAGATAGCGCTATTCGCATTGTTTATTATGGTATATGGTTGTCAGGTGCATATATATGAGTAAATTATATAGTAACCTTTGAAACTTTCACATATCCCAAGTGATCTAAGAGGAAGAATTAGATACAATCCGAATCGAATACTCGAAAGGTTTGGATTCAGACAGTTACATACCTGTAATCGAGACGCTTTTCCAACCAACTCAGCCGCTTGTCTGAATCTTGAATCATCTTCATTCTGACAGATTTCAGCCGCCTGTAAGTGAGAAATTACCAGAATTAACGCAAAAAGGCATTTTATTTTCGAGTTTCATTTTTAAGGCAATATAACATTTCATAGATTGGATCTAGGCATTTCTAGTTTTTTCGAAATAAAATAGGTCCTTGCATATCATGCAAGAAATGCATTAAATATTTTACTTTCATTAAAGTTGCAAAAGTAGAAAAGTTGAGATCTGTGTACCGAGCATTAAAAATAATTTTCAGAATTGGTCCCAATACGACAGTAAACAGTATAATCCAATATGAATCCATCTTATTGAAGATATTGATATATTGACCCAATTATCAATAAATAAGCAATATGGAAAAAACTAAATAGTATAGTAAGGAGGCCTCTATATGCTTTAATAATACAGAAGTTCCAAAAGTTTTCTTTAGTTTCGGTGATATAAATCATGACGCATTGTAAGAAAATTTGACTATATTATTATTAAAGAAAAACTACATATTACAGCGTGTTCCAAAAAAAAATGGTACCCATCAATTACCGTAGATTAACAATTTGATGGGTCTCATTTTTTTTGGGACACCCTGTTCATCCACATTTAATCAATGTGTCATGCTTTCGTGCTTGTTAGAATGTTCGTGTCAATGTGTCATGTTTCGTGCTTATTTCTAAAAGTCATGTTTAATATAATAACTCGCGACAGAAATTTGGATTTGTTTTTTTAAAACAGTTGATAATCAAGAGGAACTGATAAAACAGCCTATTATAAAAACATATCTACATATTTCGTTTTGTATTCGCACATTTTATTTAGAGTGAAGAGTGACTGCTCTATTCGCAGACAGGTAAAAACTGGTGTATCTTTATGTAAAATTCGACAGTGAAAGACCTACAATATCCATATTAAGAATATTCACTTTATTAATTAATGGCACTGGGTTGATATTATTTATCTTATCTCATAGATAAGAGTTGATAGTGTGATAATTAAATCCCAAGGATTCATCATACAGAAATAAATCATACTATTACTAATTCGTGATTCAATTTCCCTTATGAGTTATGACATAACCCCACGTCAATGTATGTGATGACTATGATTTTCAAGTGTTGGTGTTAATATATAAGAAAACAGTGGAGATGGCCAAAATAAGATAATTAACATTCTAATAAATTCTAAAAAAAGAATTTCGAAATATGGAATATTGAAAAACTCCTAATTGGGTCGTGTTCATTAGATATTTCAATAAGCTCAATATTCAATAGTTTTTAGGTGCTCCCGCAGTACATGTACCAGGTTAGGGTTAGGTCATACTTTTATCTGATTTTCCTCATTTTAGTTCTATTACGAGTTCGGGGACTGTCTGTGTTAGCCAAGTAAATATACCCCCTGTCCATAGGTTTCAGTCTCTATACACAACTTGATGTAAAGTAGGCGAACAAAATTAGTCACTCTCACATTGGTACACACTACACACACTTCTGAAGAACCAAATTTTATACGTATTGCTACAAAAATCGGAGAAAGGCACATACAGCTCACTAAAGATGACATCACTACTCTACAGACATCGACCTTGCTACGATTAAATTATTTATAACTTGCTCAAAACTGTCGACACATCGAATATATGATATGGGTGCAATTGACGCACAGTGGTACCCAAACTTTTCTTCAAGCGACCCAAATTATTCAAAAAATAAACTTTGTGAAATCTCGTGACCCAAGGATATGCTCAAATACTAGGCGGTATGTAATGCTTATGCATGAAATGGTTACAGAATTAACTGACTGACTGATAATGAAGACGCACGTATTTACATTGTGATAGTTCCAACATACAAGTACGATTGAGTCACGCTTCAATACAAATATAAAAAAAAACAATAAAATTTAGAAAATAAAGCAGTAACTTTTAGGTTTTTGTTGAAAAATCAAACGACCCAAAAAAATTTTCAGGCCCAATTTTGGGCAGAGAACTATAGATTAGGAAACACTGGTCTAGCAGTTAAAGCATTAAGTTTAATTGTGTTGGGATCGCAAGTTATACATATCGAGTTCGGATCCCATGCCCACCCCCCCCCCAGGTGGTGATCAGGGGCGCACCCAGGAGGTGGTTTTACTGGTGGGAACCCCCCTTTAAAAATGTAAAAAGCATTTCTTCTGTTTCATACAAAGCAATTATTCGTAGCTTGAAACGATTTTTCGACCTTCAAGAAGTCTTGAAAACCTTCGTTTTCCGACCCCCGACCGGACCTGCTTGATGAAAGTTTCAAAATTGGGAACAAAAACAAACTTTTTTTTTAAAAGATAAAGATATAAATGAAACGGACCTTCATATATAAACTGATGGACCATTCCGCATTAACCATTTCCGTCATCTTTCCTGCTCGTTCTAAGCACAGAACTGCGGTGTCAGGAGTTCCATTCTCCATGTATATGTCTGATGCTCTGTCGTAGTATGCTAAAGCTGTAGAAAAAAAAATCATAAATATGAATGACTTTGGATTAATTCTTGTTCACTTATGCTTTGTAGAATTCTCTTCTATTTTGCTGATTTCCTGACTTTCTGGTTTCTCAAGCTGGCCCTGGGTGTGTTCGACAGAATTCGGGCAGCTCACGAGCAAATGCATTCACCAGATGGGACTGTGTGTATTAGCCAAGTGAATTTACCCCCTGCCCATAGGTTTCAGTCCCTTCACACAACTTCAGTTACCTCCATATTGGTACACACACTTCTGGAGCGCCCACAGCTTCGTGTAAAAAATAAAGTTATCGTACCTTTATTATAGTCATTCAGTTCTCTGCAAGCATTCCCAGCTTCCTCGTATGCTTTTGCGGCATGGAATCTCGCTCCAAGCTTGTAATGAGCATCGGCTAATCTTTCATATGCAGCGTATGCTTTCTCATATTGCCTGAAACAAAGAGGATTAAATTTTCATCTGTATTTCTTCACGTAGAGAGGAAAAATCCAATATGACAACTCAAATGATCAAATTTACTGTTTTTTTTTTTATATTTTTTAAATTTTTCATTAATTTTTTAACATCGCATTACAGTAGAGTAGAGCACAGTTCTGCGATTTCAAGAATAGCCCCAACATTAAAAGACATCAATTATAACAGTGAGTGAAAACCAATCCTTTACGAAACGGTCTGGGCCTCCATATTGGCATGAACAGGCACTGTGCAATAAACTAAAAGGAAGCACAATCTTGGAATGTCAAAAATATAATCTCATTTATCAAAGACAAAAAAAATTTACCGTAGCATTCGAGAGTTTTCAGCAAAAAAACACAATTTTGGCCATGTGCCGGTCGACACAAGCCACAATTGATTAAAATCATTACTGCATACTGAGACAAGCTTGGCATGATCTGACACAGATCTACTGTAGGGCCACACGCCCTCTTTTAGAGACAAATAGAATGTTTGTTTAATTGAACCAAATGTCCGGACATCTTAGAATCAGAGAGCTGTGACCTACTGTATTATTATTATTATTTTTAGACAACTGCTAAGGTTGCAAGGGATTGTAAAACAAAATCATAACTACAGAACACAAACTGTCTTGTGGTCGGAAAAAGTCCGTCCGGCCTGAGTTTGTAAACTTGGCAAGACAGTAAAATCGGCAGATATTGAATTTGGAAACTATCGCTCAACTCTCAGACTGTTCTGTTCTTCAATAGTTTATTTTTAAAACTCTACTGTCAGTCTGTACGGTATGTCTGTATTACACACAAATTAAACCTGTAAATACTGAAACATGGAGAATTCTGGAGAGCGAGCAAAACCTTCATCGTAATAAAGTTTAAAAGAAATATGCTCGCTCCAGAAATATCCAGCACACACCAAACCAAATTTAAAAAAACACAATCCAAGTTGAACGAAGCTTGGGCAAGAAATAAACAAACAAAACTTTCAATTCTCTCCAATTTCATATTACAGTATTATAGTCGATTGGTATTCAGGTATTGTAGGCCTACCACTGCACCACTGAATTAGTATCAAATTCCAAGTAGTCTACTACTGTTATATTTACAAAACCCCATCACAACTTACTTAGCAAGCTTGAAGGCAAGCCCAGCATTCTGAAACGAAGCTGCTGCGCTGTCATAATCAGGTCTCCACTTGAAAAATCCCGTTTTTAAATGTTTTTCTGCTTCTTCCATATGCTGCAAACCTTCTTGGAGCTTTTTCGCCGCTCTATCAGTCATTATTTAGCTTTCTAGGAACTTAATTCTGGAAAAATCTATCAAAATAATCTTCCTAAACTGCGCTATCGCACTACAGACAGACAACCAATTCTGCATGAACAAAAATCGATTTCGTGTTTTGTCAACAACTGGACATAATTTCCATGCAGATAAATTAGGTGCGCACTTTAATGTTATATTGTCAAGAAAAACCTCTGATTAAATTTACGTTAATTTCATTTAGTGGACACTGATTTTAGGTGGGTGATATTGGAATTACTTAAAAAATTGCTAGACGTCGATCGACAATGTCTTGATATTGAAAAATTAGTCGTTCTTGGAAAACTATGAAATGAAATGGCGTATTGTGCTGACAAATAGTCATGTGATTTGTAAATATTGCAAAATTGTGTCGTATGAACATTTCACGTACAACTATCCTTAAAATCTTCTCCCCCGAAAGCAAACAGTTCCCAACTTTTCATTAAATTATTATATTTTCATTAAATGGGGAATTTGACGCCAACGGTGTGGCTGTTCAACACCCACCGATTAATCTCAATTACCAATATTCATATTGCTCAGACGTGAGTCTATTCTGTAGTAACTTTCACTACATTATCCGAGGAGAAAGAAAATCTGATTTGCGGTTTGATAATATAACAAACCACGTCTTCTAATTTGTTTACTTGTCTAGTTAGAGTGGGAAAATACCTAAACATTTAATTGTTAAACATCGTTTGAGGCGGGTGATACTGGATCGCATGGAAATACTTAACGTTTACATAATCCCTGAGTCGGCCGAAATGTTGTGGCATTCAAAAACGGGATTGTGGACATGGGAATGCGATTGCGAGCGTATTTATAAACTGGAGGCGGATGTGATAAATGTGCGCTTTGAAAGATATTCAATTTTAAAAAACATTCAAAATCTCGCACATATCAGTTCGCGCGGCCTATTTCACTGCCAAGGAAGAGATTGTTGATTTTTGCACTACTATGCTTATTTTATTGTAAAATTTGATGCGGATCTTTGTAGTTCAGTTTAATATTGTTTTAAAATAGCGATATTTTACAACATGAACGAATATACTTGTCTGTGACTATGACTAGCGAGTTATTTACATGAAAAATATTTTGAAAATGGTTTGTGTCGCTGTTGTCGTCATCACTTGCTGGTGCATAGAGCAACAATGGCCGCGGAACTCGCTTTTCTGTCGAAGAGGTTTTCGAAGGCGTATACGTTCATTCGTCGCTTCTTTTGCGTTTTTTTCGCTTGCTTACTTTGACATTACTTATTTGAGTTTTTATATCATGGTAGTAACTCATTGCTTTTACTTCAGATTATTTACTCAATGTATAATAGATCACCTAAAAATATGGCAGGGAACAAGCGCGGAGGCGGAAGATTTTATAATAATCACAATCGAAATCATAACCAAGGAAACAACAGAGTAAAAATGGAGTCGTCTCCACAGAAACATTCAACACCGCCGCCACCTAAAGATATTGTTTCTAAGAAAGAATCAAATACTGTTCACGTTACAAATGATCATCCACAAGAAGAAGAATCCAGTAAGATTTTTTTTTTAAACTTTGAATAACGTTAGATAGTTTATGTTGAAAACTCCTTTATACAAGCAAATAAAAACAAAGAATTGCGGAGAGCGAGCTAAGTCTTTGAAAAAGTTTAAACCACGAAAAATATCACCAGCACACAAATTAAAACGATAAAAAACACAAATCCAGTTAAACGAGGCTTGAGCCAGAAATAAACAAAAACGCGCCAAATCTGTACGGTATTGTGCTTTTGCACTGACTGACTGATAGGAAAAACATTCAAGCTAATAATCACCAATTCAATCTGATACAGTAGGCTATGTCCTAATTTAATGTTTTTCTCCCTTAAAATGGCTGTAATTGTTTCAGCTTCCATTTTACAGTGTCAGTGAATCTTCAATGACCAAATGCTAAAATTTTAGGATATGGAATGGCACATATTTAGCTTCTTTAAAAAATATATGAAAATAAAAATCCGTTTTTTTTTTGTTCATTTCCATATGCTTGAAAAAATATTCTATTAGTGAATAGAATAAATGTTATTCCTAGCCTAACTTCTCATTCAATGTTTCTTATTTTTCGAAAAAAAATGGCCCTGATCGGTGCCATATACTCATATAAGCACAAAGGAAACTCATCTCTTAGCAGAGTTACAAGCGACCACTAAAATACATCATTTGTATTAATATTCCTCGCATCTGAATATTGTTAGCATCTTGAAGCCGCAAATAATTTTGTTACATAAATCTTCATTTCTTTAGCTCAAAGACCCGCGGAAAAGAAGTTCACACAAAGAAGTCGACTTTTTGTTGGAAATCTTCCTCTCGATATGTCAGAGCAACAATTTAAAGATTTGTTTTCAAAATATGGAGAAATTTCAGAAACTTTCATCAATGCAGGAAAAGGCTTCGGTTTTGTCAGATTGGTAAGATATTTGGGCCTGAAAATGCAGAGAAATAGAAATATTTGTGCTGAAAAACTGGTGAAAAAAAATGGACACTACAGTAATATTAACCCTAATTTCATTCACCCAAGGCTCGACTAATTACGCTTTATAGATTTCAGTCAGCAGACACAATTATTTTACATTATCTTCTTGAAATAAGAATTTAGCTTTTCGAATTTTTTTACCATATTTTTACGCTGTTATACACATAGTGAAAAAGGTAACTTAACAATTTTTTAAAATTGAATTTCATGTGAATTTTTCAATTTGTTCATTTTACAGGACACCAGAGCCAATGCAGAGAAAGCAAAATGGGAATTGGACGGAAAACAAATCAAAAACAGACAAGTGCGAGTCAGATTTGCTTCCCACGGTGCTGCATTGAGTTTAAAACATTTATCTCCTTGTGTAAGTGTTTTACTTTTAATAGAAACACAAATTTCCAGTTTTTTGTAAACTAGGTATATTTGATATATCTGACTGTAGACGGAACTGAGTTTTTGTATTTATAAACTTTAGAAACCTAATTCAAAACGAGAATATCGGTCAGAGACCGAAGACTTATCGATCGAAAGTTAGGGGATCCCTCAAAGCAGCGCTCTTACTCAATAGTGACACTCTGTGTCCCATCACTAATTAATAATAACTCGCTAATTATACAACATAATTCGCCCAAAATCTACAGGATTCTGGTCCGAGATAAGATGAATGCACATGAAAAATCTGGAGCAGATTCAATCTCGCTTTCGTGAGATATCGCGTGCATCTAACAGACATACAGACAGACAAACACCTATCAACATACTTACCGATTAAAATCGATAAGTGATAATATATCATAAACCCCACCCATTCAATAGAATTTTCGCCACATCACAAGACTATTCGATTTATGATTTTGATTTTCAGTCGCCTCTGAAATTGTTTAAAACAAAAATTTAAATATACAAAGATATGTGGATTTCTTGATTTATTTATATATATTTATTATCAGTAACCTTCCACTGTCGTATTGGTACTACCCTAACCATTGTGCCATTGAGATTACTTCGTACTTATGATCTGGTTACATATTTGTGTGTCGAGATGGTTCATCACAGTTTATGACAGGCTCATAGAAGGACCTGTATAGGTGTATCTGCTTTGAAGGCAAAAACTTTTCAATCATAATCCAAATCACCCTGGGGTTGGAAAAGTCTTTGGAGCGAAAAGTCGTAGCCTATACCGAGCTAATTTAGACGACTGAGTGCCCATTGCCTGTTCTTAACTGTGAGGTTTTTCACATCTATCTTCTGCCTGTAGAAAATGTGTTTGAGCTTTGTTCAGAGAGTAATTTGACAGCTCTTACTATTTTGCTTTTCAGGTCTCTAATGAACTGCTCGAAACTGCTTTTACCCAGTTTGGACCGGTTGAGCGAGCTGTTGTCATCGTTGATGATCGTGGCCGAGCGACTGGTCGAGGAATTGTGGAGTTTGCAAGAAAATCATCAGCAACGAAAGCCCTTCAGCAGATTTCTGTAAGATTTGTGAATATTAAAGTCTTTAAAATTAGAATGTATCACTTTTTATGCTGTTCATTCACACTTTCAACCCCCAACAAGACAATGTTCAGTAGATTTCTGTCAGATTTGAAAATATCAGATACTAAAGAATACATGCTAAAAGTCTAATACGAAAGAGATGAAGCCAGACATGTTTATTTGTCGAATCAATGCAATTCCTTCGTAAGAATCAATTATTTAAGCAATTCGATTATTTTCAACCTTGGCCTTCGGTTTAATTGACCTTCAAAATCGACTGAATTGTACAAACCATAAATAGATATAAGCGAACCTCACACTGGCGAAACAAAATGTCCCTCAAAGCAGGGTTTCCGTAATGACTGCACAGGGGGTCGGCAACAATATGAAAAGAGTCTTCAACATATAATAGATCACAATCTTATCGAATTGCAGTTAGTCTATCAGTATTTAATGTTAGTAGGTATTGATTCAGACTTTTAATGAGTTTCGTTTCGGTAAAAAGAAACATCATCCATCCTCGTTGGTTAGGCACAGGAATTAATACGGATAGGATGGGCAGTGGCGCAACCAGGCCATTTTCAACGGGGGGGGGGGGTCCGACCGAAATTTACACAGTGCAACCATGACGTAAGTCGCAACGCCACTATGTGTCGCCCTGCTGAAACACGATAAATTGCTCGTGATTAAAAGGGAAACGCCATCGATTAAATCCCAGTCTTTCGCTTACCTTGTCCTTGTTCATTAACGGCGCTTCGCTATGTCTTGCACCTCGTGGGTAGCAAAACGCCATCGATTATTACGTAACTAACAGCAAAAAGGTATGATTGAAGTCGGGTGGTGTTAAATTACGTCGGGGTGAAAAAGCACTGGAATAAAGTAATTTTCACCAGATTGTTATGACCGTAGAACGACGTTTTTTGAACGTAGAACAATAATAATAAAAAAACGAATTTCAAACGGGTGGGACACGACCCCTGTAACCCCCCCCCCCCACACGCTGGTTGCGCCACTGAGGATGGGGCTCATGGGGGTCGTCAAGAATAAGTTTCACAAACAGGGGTGCCCAGGCCAAAAAGTGTGGGAATCCCTGCCCTAATAAAGTATAGAAAGTTTGATAATAGTGACAAATCCAATAGGTATTTGATTATACTTAATGGGCAATATACATACAATGATAGAATCTGAAATTTGAGTGAAAACATGCTTGAACCCCTGAACCATAGTAGCAGAATCCTAGGTTTGGATAACACTGGTTTGACCTAACAAATTTGATTAATTGTTTACTAATGTTATGCTTAACTGTATATCCAGCGTAGTTGCTAACTTGGAGAATGAGTTTCGTTTTTCTGATTACATATTTCAGCATGGATGCTATATAGTAACAAAAAAAATATATGAATATTGACTCAAATATGAAAATCCTACCTTGATTAGTATTGGGTTATCCCCTATCCTGTCTCAAACATGTTTGTGTTATTTTCCGTTTAACTCTTTGGAGTATTTGGTTATATTAAGATCTTTTCCAACAGTTACACTTACGTTGGGTTAAATGTGTTATGTTTCATTTATAAACATTTGATTTATACAAAGACACTCAAGTTGGTAATTTGTAAAAATCTGCTCATCAGACTTCCCAACAATTAGTGTTTCAAAAATCATTAGTTTCCTAGAATTAGTGTGTACTGCATATAAAATCTTTCCTGTAACACAGGTTATCCAAATGCTGTTTAGGCTACCCCTCTATTTGTGTCCAAACAAGTATATTATTTAAATGTTGAAATATCTATATTTTAGGAAGGATGCTTTTTGCTTACCTCCTCGCCTCAAGCGGTCGTTGCTAAACCACTCGAACAAGAAGACACTGAGGATGGTTTGAGTGAGAAAAATGTCAACAAAAATCAACAATATTTCCAGTAAGTTTTACCAGAAAGATATGTATATCGATACTCCCGTAGTATGTGTACCAGGTTAGGGTTAAAGCATAATTTTATTCCAATTTTTCTTATTTTCTAGTCAAGTGAATACATCCCCTGCCCATCGGTCCGTTTCAAACTTGACATAAATTAGGCGAACAAAATTAGTTACCTCCATATTGGTACACACACTTCTAGAGCGCCTTTATAACTGCTTCGCAAAAAAACTTAGTGCAAGCTGTCACCAGGGATGGAGAAACCGAATATTTTACTTTTCCGAATATTTAATTTATTTTAACAATATTTTAGTTTACCGGTATGTGAAAAATTACAAAAAACACTTTTTTTTCCTTCATGTTGATCATATCTGAAACAATACAAATATGAAAGTCATCATTTTCTCTGTGTTGTTTGTTATCAGTTGAGATATCTTATCTAAAGGATGGTTTCCCTTTTTTCGGAGTATAGACATAAAAAAATCATCCTTCAATGACTATGAATGGCAGTTCTTGCTTATTCGATAAACTCTCCAATTAGGGACTGTGACGCATTTCAGTGTTTTATTCTCCCATTCGGGTTGCAGTTCATAAAACGCTCATCTGATAAACTCTCCATTTAGGGACTGTGACTCATTTCAGTGTTTTATCCCCCGTTTGGGGTTCAATTCATAAAACGCTCATCTGATAAACTCTCCAATTAGGGACTTAGCCCCCATTCGGGTCGCAGTTCATAAAACCTTTTATATTATTCAGAGAAAGAGAGGCACCTCCACGATTTGCGCAGCCCGGTACATTTGAATACGAGTTTGCTTTGCGATGGAAAGCTCTCGATGAAATGGAGCGACAACAACAAGAACAACTTGATAAATCTATCTCGTCAGCTCGAGAGAAATTAGAAGGAGAAATGGAAAATGCGATACATGAGCATAAAACTATGATGATGAAACAAGGTAGAGTTGACCTTTTTTATGAGTTTCTCTCAGAAAAAGGTTTTGAATAAGAAATACATGGCGTTAGAGTGCTCTTGATAGAATAGTCATGTCCCGCTATAGCATCGTTGCGTTATACGCATACGAATCCACTAGCATATAGGAAGGATATGGAGTTAGTCTCAACAAAATTAGCGAACCAAATTGAAGTTACATAATTTTATTGTTAATTTTTCCTCCAGATTTAATCCGAAGGCAAGAAGAATTGAACAGACTCGAAGAACAAAGACAGAGAGAGATAGAAAGAAGAAAACAACTCGAATTTGCGTGAGTTCTTATTTTGAAAATATATTATTGGTTGGATGGCAACACTGTACTGAAATTAATATTCTACAACAGGGAACCAGGGGCCAAAAATATTGCCCACCTAGACTCGCGGGCCATGTAAGTGTGACATAATAATTTTACGAGCAGAAAAAATGTATGAACAGAATGTGTAACAGAATGGCAAGAATGCGTAAGCTATGAACAAAAAGAACGGGCCAAATCGAATCACCCAATGGGCCGGATTTGGTCTGGGGCTGTAGTTTGTCCTTGTCAGTTCTGCAATATCAATAACTTAAAATGTGTAGAATAAATGAATTTCCTTAGTGTTTTTTATGAATTCCTGGCGAAAAAAAATGTAAACGTATTTAACTTTTCTATTTAATGTATGTTTTTTAAATTTAGTCGAGAAGATGCTCACAAAAAAGAATTGGAAGATCTTGCCAAAAGACAGGAAATCTTAAGAGCTAAAGTGGAAGGGGTGAGTCAAGTGTGCTTGTTAGGGGATAAATCTATTAACAGAGCTTAGTGTCTTAGTCTTAGAAAATTTCAAATATTATTTTGAAAATTCGGAATCAAATAAATTTTAACATACATCCTGTTATACAACAACAGTAATCTAAAAAAACATGTAATATATTTATCAATGCAGATAAATTTTGCTTTAACTAATATATTTCTTTTCACAATGTCAGTTTTTACTTATCGATCTTAAGATCGGTAAGTATGTTAATAGGTATTTTTTTGTCTGTGTGTTAGATGCACGCGATATCTCACGAAAGCGAGGTTGGATCAGCTCCATATTTTGCTTGTGCATTCATCATAGCTCGGATCAGAAGCCTATTGATTTTGGATAGATTATGTCTTATAAATAGCGAGTTATTAATTAATTAGTGATGGGACACACGGTGTCACTATGGAGTAAGACCACTGTTTTGAGGGATCCCCTAACCTTCGATCGATAAGTCTTCGGTTTCTAACCGATATTCTAGTTTTTTTTTTCCAAGTTTTATGTTTTTGGTGCCACGATTAGAGGTCTACTGCTCAAGATGACAGATTTTCAAACCTAATTTTAATAATTAAGAATTAACTATATTGAATATACCCTATATTTGATGTAGCCAATATTCGATCAGTTTTGCACATCCTTGTCTATCGTTTATATTAGAATAATCTTGGTTTTTGCTAACCCTGTCCAGTGTCCTTATTTGTTAGAGCTATCCAATCTTGCAAGTTACAAAGAACATCAGTGGCTGTTTTCCCGACTGAAGGCAGAAATTACCTCTCATAAAATGAGTTGGATTACGCAGCTAACTGACTTTGTTCTTTTTTCTTAGAACTTCTCATCAATGCAAGGCCCTCCTCCACAAGATATGGGACCAAATAGGAATCAACCCCCGCCAAGACATCCTGGTGGTAAGTTGAATTAAATTTATGCCTCACTTTTGCTCCAGAATCTTATTACTTATTGATTTTAATATGTTGTATGTATGTTGATAGGTATTTGTCTGTATGTCTGTTTGTCTGTTAGATGCCCGCGATATCTCACGAAAGCGAGATTGAATCTGCTCCAGATTTTGCATGTGCATTCATCTTATCTCGGACCAGAATCCTATTGATTTTGGGCAAATTATGTCGTATAATTAGCGAGTTATTAATTAATTAGTGATGGGACACAAGGTGTCACTATGGAGTAAGAGCGCTGTATTGGGGGATCCCCTAACTTTCGATCGATAATTATTCGGTCTCTGACCGATATTCTCGTTGAAACCTTGATAGCGCAGTTTTGGCGCTCCAGATGTGTACCAATATGGAGATAAATAATTCTGTTCAACTACTTTACATCAAGTTGTATAAAGGGAATGAAACCTATGGGCAGGGGAATATTAACTTGGCTAATACAGACAGTCCCCGAACTCGCCACTCGTTTCACTGCTTCAAATCTATCATCATTTGGCCCGATACTTGTATTACTGTTGATTGCCTATTGATTTTGGATGAATTATGTCGTATAATTAGCGAGTTATTAATTAATTAGTGATGGGACACGCGGTGTCACTATAGAGTCATGAATCGAAACCGCAGTTTCGATCGATAAGTCTTCGGTCTCCGACCGATATTCTCGTTCCTGGTTTTATTGATTTCATTTCACAGGGTGTTTTCACCCTGTTTAGTATGGATAGTTTGAATGGAATGGGATTCGGAATCTACCAAACAAAAATACGCCATGAATACTATTGTAATGACAAACAGGTGTGCCATGAGTGCTTGAAGCCTTCGTAAGGGCAAGAAGCCATAAAAGATTTGGGATCCTTAGTGATTCAAGAGTCTTGCTGCACACTAACACAAATATAATATTTCTGTGATGTTTCGTCTGACCAAAGTCAGACTTCTTCAGACGAAACGTTACAGAAATATATTTGTGTTTGTGTGAAACAAGACTTTTGAATCACTTGGATAGTTGTCTTCACTCTTGCTACAGCATCCTTGCATTATATGCATACGGATTCGCCGGCACAAAAGCATAGAAGAGAGATAAGTAGTTAGTCTCGCAGAAACCAAATCATTAGCAAAAGATTTGGAACCTCTGAAAAAGAGATTACAGTTTTTGTTTTTGGCAATTTCACAACCCAGTTCATACTTTTCTTCGATAAACCTTTTTATAAAATTTAAATTTATGTTTTGTTCACTTTAAGATTTTGGCGGGCCGACCAATCAGATGATCCAAGACGCAATTGCTCTAGAAATGTTAGCCGGTGGCCAAGGGGGGGGATTAGGACCTGCACCGGTAAGTCTGGTTTGGTTTTAACGGTTTATCGGTCGACAAGATTAATCTATGGTTTGATCTTATGGTTTCATCGGTACAGCAAGAATGACTAAGTCTTGGTTGGTTTTAATGGTTTCATCAGTTAAACTGTTAGAGGGCATTAAGCGGATGTCTGAAACAGTAACAGTAGAGTAAAGGATAAGTAAAAGTTAGTTGGGAAGATATTTTTGATTTTGAGGGCGGGGGGAGTTATTGGAGATAAAATTGGCTGAAGTAGCTGTATATTGTACTGTAATATAAAATTAATTTTTATTGTAGCCTAACCTTAAAAAATCCTATTAAATATGCACATCAATAACTTAAATTTACAATGTCTGCTTTTAAACTCTGATCATTATTTGTACAAACTTCTCCATTTGCAAATACTTGGTTTAGAAAAGAGATATTTTAAATAATTTCATTGATATAGTTTTCAAGACTGAGTAAATTGACATGTTATGCATGTAGGAGTTTGAAATAACAACAATATATCAGATAAATCGGCTACTTTTTCAAAGAGAGGGAGGGAGTGAGACTGAGACATTCTTACAAAACATGAATTTAGAGATCTCTGATTTATCACTTTTAAATATTGTTTTGTGAGCTTATTAATATTTTTTTTTTTTGAGAATTAAAATGGCCTTTGAGGTATTAAGTTAGTTTAACTCTAAGAATAGTGGCAATTTTGATAGATCGATGTGAGAAACTTCAATCACAAGATTGCTAGAATAAGATTTTAATATTTTACCCGGGGATGAGGGAATCCTTTAATTAATTATACAGCAAACCACGGCCTCTCATCCAGTTACCAGTCCATGACGGGTATGGGATTAGTTAGCCAGTTATTTGCTTCAGATGCATGGCTTTGATGGTGGAGGAAGACATAAACAACCAGCGGTTACAGGAACGATCTTGTGACAGTCACGGGTCCACAAGTTCTTTCTCACATCGTTTTCTCTACAATATCGAACATATGATCCCACACAACGTCGTTAATCAGTGGTTAACTATTGTGTACGTACCTATTGTGGTGAGATACTGCTGTTTAGTGTATTTTATTTATATTTCAAGTTAGTCCATTTGCAATTAATTTCGTATCTTTCTTAAGCAGCTATGTTCTGAAATCATAGGCCATGCACATATGACACGCTTTTTATAGCAATGAAATTGGGGATTGGTCAAGTTTTTAACTTGGAAAAATTCCCAAGGCTCTGGCAGACGCTTTCCGACCCCGGAAACGAGGCTAAACGACCTCTAAACCCCAAAATCACTCTAGCGTGACCGACCGACAGCTTGAGCATGTTTGGTCTCCACTCTAATTGTTGGTTGCTATAGTTTGCTATGATCTTGGGACTGTTTGTAAAAATAGTCACTGATTGACAGATACCACTTAGTCAAATACAGTTTATTGATCACTAAAATTAGGGGTACGACGAGTCCTTTTTATTTTATGTTCATGCATTATGAACTATTCTCAAAGCAAGTCGATTTTCCTCGACTGGTTAATGGATTCAGACTGGGAGTCGTATTTGCAAACTTCTTTAAAGTCTGTGTCAAATGTAAATTTTCACTGACTTCTCAGCCATATTCTATCCCTGGCAAATTAACTTCTTTTTGATTATCATTTACCTTATTTTAATGATGCTGCATCTCCTCTACGTCAAAACACTAGGACAGTGGTTCCCAAACTTTTTAGAGTTGGGACCCACTATTTTATACCACAGCTTATGGCGACCCATTTAACTTTAATAAATTAATAAAACATTGATGGAGGAAACAAATTTATTTTCTCAAATTGAATTTTCAGTGAAGCTAGTGAAAAAAATTGAAAACTTGCAGCTTATTTCGAAATTTGCTTTTAAATTTGCTTTGCCACCGATCCTAATAACCAGTATAATTGATCGAAGCTTTCCACATCTTTTCACGACCCACTAAGATTCCTTTTGCGACCCACCAGTGGGTCGCGACCCATAGTTTGGGAACCGCTGTACCAGTATATTATGTTTTCCTATTATGTGTATATATAGTTATTAGTAATACAGCAAGACTATTATGATATTTTAAAGATCCTTGGCATTTCATTTTCAAATTATTTTAGCAAAGAAAATCATATCTGTGTGTCTCATCTCAAGCCCTAATTACTTAATACTGTCTGTGTATAAGCAGTCGTCTAGTTGTACAAGTGTTATGTTGGCATTTTATGTCACTGATTTGTGATACAAATCGCGCAGTGAATTGGGTAGCAAATGGTGAACTTGAAAGATCTCAAAAGTAGCTTTTTACTATCAGTGGCGGATTTAGTGATTCTTGTTCGTAGTGAACAACATGGAAAAGGATTATATATCAAATATGCTTTGTATTTAGTCTGTATTCAGTCTGAATGATATTGTTTAATTTGGGACATTAAGGATAGCTCTGACTCGACTGGTTTGCTGTAACACCGTTCCCAGTTTTTTTTTTGTCTCACTGGAATGTCATGTCTAGTGTTGAGATCTCATACTGTCGCTCTGTCACATCGCGGAATTTGTGTAATATACAATAATAAGCTTACTGAGACGGCTCATGAGTTTCTGATTATCTTGAACTTGGATGCTTGTTTTTCCATAATCATATTATTATGATAGGTCTTCTAAGCTGGTTGATTCATATGTTTTTCACATGCAGTCGAATATTTTGGCAATCTGCCAGTCTCAAGTTTTGTGCGACAACTAGTCATAACTCTTTTGATCTCTTTTTGGTAAACAATTTTAGGGGCTCCCGAAGTATGCGAACCAAGATGGCGGACGTCGGAATGTAATATGTGTACTAGGTTAGGGTTAGGCCATAATTTTAGGTATAAATACTACGGGAGGCTCTTGGCTAGTCTTCGAACTGATAATAGGACTAAAATAGGAAAAATTGGAAAAAATTATCGTCTAACCCTAACCTGTTACCCATGTTACGTTCCGATGTCCGCCATCTTGGTTCGCATACTTCGGGAGCACCAAATTTTATATACCTCTTATCATGTCAGCTGGTCCTAGCTTTATTATTGGTTTCTATTCTTCAAGTTCAAGGGAAATGTTTGGGGAAACTTGCATAAAAAAAGACATCTACTTCTTATTGTAAAGTCCTGAACAATTTTATTTAGTCGTTATTAACGTGTCAGTTGACGTTTGCAACTTACTATTGGTACTCTTTACACTCGCACGGAGAAAACTCGCAAAAAAACTCATTCATCCTGATGTAATAGTACATGGGCTAGTGTAGATAGGCCTACAAATCGTTAGTACAACTGTTGATGTTTTATTGACAATTCATTCTACAACTTAAATTGATTTTGAAAGTTTGGACTAGGGACATATTTTCAGCTTCCTGTAGCCTGTTTAAGTGCTTGAGATGACACATACAGTATTATTTTATTATTTTTTTCCAATTTTTTATTTGGAAATATTCTTCTCATTATTGTTGAACCTAGAATGACGTTGAAAATGAAATGCCAAGGTTTTGATACAGTTTTGTATTTTAGTATTATTGTTATATTGTATCTAACATGACGTTCACAATTCTTTTTTAATGTTCGAACATCTGCCATTCTTCCTGAAAATCATCAATCCGTGGAATCCATCTTCAAAAACGCCTTTTTTATCAAATAAAGAGTCGTCAGGCACGTTTTGAGCAAGGAATGGGGCCGGGTATGCCTCCCCCACCACCAGGACGGGGTTTTCCCCCTCCTCCAGGGGGTATGGGTGATTTTGGTGGCAATAATGGCCCTCCAGGACCAGGATTTGGAGGCGGAAATCAAAGAAGGGGGTTCGGAGGGCCGATGGAGTATGATGGGCCCCAAAAAAGGCGTCGCTACTAAGTTACTATGACACTGAGTACCATATTTAATATAATGGTAACTGCAAACAGTTTTATTGTAGCTTTTAGCAAGCTATCTATTACGTGTAGTTTGCTCAATGCTAAGAGCATTGCTCTCAGACTTGTATATACATTACTTATGTATGGAAATGGGATATCTCGCTCCAGACGCTATCAACGTTGACTTCTTGTGTAGTTTCATTTGCATGGTTCATCGATAAAAGCGGTAATTCTTTCAAGTAGGGAGTGGTACCGTATTCGCTTGTAAATTATAAAAAAAGTAAAAAAGTGTAAGTTTCATAGCAAGTTCATATGTTGTTTAACTTTCCATCATGTATGTTTGTAAAAGTTTTAGAAAAGCTGACCAATATTGCAGCTATGATTTCTTTTGTTTTTCGAGTGCCATCATGGCTTCTGGGCTCTGGAAAATATTATGCGCCTTTCAAGATTTTTTGGAAGAAGTTTTATTCTCAACATGTTTAGACTTTTTTTTCTTATCGTGATAAGACTACATATTTTAGAAAATTGTTTGTTAGTATTTGAAAAAGGGAGTTTGCTCAAAGAATAGTTTGGTATGGAAATTAAATAATTGTGAACGAACAGAGAATGTGTGGCGAAATTTTCTCTACACAGCGAAACAAAAAATTTTGAAAACGTTTTAAAAAATCTGTAGAAATCTGAAGTTGGCCAATGATGGTTAAATATTCTATATTTTCAGTTGTATCTGGAAAATTGGCCGTAGGAAATCTCGTCGCATAGTAAAAATCACAAGAGCATTTAGCTGTTAAACAAGTATTTGTGATTAAAACAGTTAGGGTTTATAGGGTATGCTCTCAAATAACGAATCTTTTTTAAATAAGGCTATTTTTCATACAGCGATTTTTCTGACGAAATTTCCCAGGGTGAGATATTCTATGGCGAAGTTTCCTAGAACCTTTGTTAGCATATACTGCCTAACTTTTTAATGCTCAATAAATAAGTAAAGTAAAAGGTAATCAAGTAATTGTCGTGTGAAATGCTATGAAGTTCTTCTTTCTTATTCAGTCGTATGTGTTTTTATTATCAACATGTTGTAAATAACAATTTGATGAGCCTTGTACTAATCTTTTAAATCATAAATAAAACAAGGAAAATAAGTTTGTTATCTTATGTGTATTGAGTATTTGTTTGATCGAGTAGATATTCCTGTTTTTAATCATATCAACATCCAAGGTTTAATAAATCAGGAAGGCGATGCTAAATGAGAAATTCTGGTCAATTGGTCATATCAAATATCGTTAGATACTAGTAACTGCATTAGAGCAAAATTGTTGATACCTTAAATGTGACCAATGTGCTTACATTTGAACGCACAAGTCTTGAATATTGGCTCTATTTCGGAGATGGTGGGTCTCTCAGTACTGGTTTCAAATTTGATCAAATTTTGTTTTCACATACAGTAAGTTTAGATGTCTAAAACGATTTTATCATAATCTCCATTAAGCTCTTTTGCGACCAACCGAGAATATCGATGGAGATTAGTGGTTAAATTGACAATGCTTTAAATGAGACCGTTTTATTTCGGGAATGGTGGGTCTCTTTACTGGTTCCATATTTTTCAAATTTGATCGATATTTTGTTTTAACACGAGTTGAGCGTCGAAAAAGATTTTGTCGCGACCCCCATTAAGCCCTTTTGACTTACTGAGGTCGCGACCCCCAGTTTGAAGAACCCCTCTTTGAAGAATGGTGTGTCAATAAGCAGCACAAAAAAATATTATCGAGGAGATTCGCCATGATATTTGAATGAAATTAAATTTGAAGTCAAACATTCAGAAAGTTTGAAGGGCCCTGGTGTAAGCAACGCTGAACCTGAATTTCTGGTCATAGTAGATATCGTTAAATATTAGTCGCTGCTTTGATGGGGCAAAATTGACAAAACCTTCAATGAAGCCAATGTTCTTGCATATTCTCCATAAGAGATCAAATCTGACTATAGATTGGAGATGGTGGCTTTCAATTTTAATCGATATTTTGTTTTAACATAAGCTAGTGTCGAAGATGATTTTATTGCCCCCTCATTAAGCCTTTTTGCGACTCACCGAGAGGTCATATTATATATCGTTAGAGATTAGTGGCTGCTTATATGGGGCCTTGCTGGGAGCAAAATATGGTGTGTGAATAAGCTTTGTATAACAAATTATGGTGCAATATTAAGATGTGCCATGATGGAGTTTATTTAAGCCAAACATTCATAGATATTGAATGACTTCATATGCCTTTTCATTGCATATACATGATTCGAATATTGAGTGTCTGCCTCTCGGGTCTTGTTTAAATGGCTGGCTTGTCATAAAAATACTCAACAAGATGTGACAAGCCAAATTCTATTCAAACTACCAGTTTCACTAGTTGTCTGTGATGGCTTAGACCGAAAATGATTCATTCTTACCTTTTCCCAATTTTGAAACTTCATCATGAAATTTGTATGTGTATTCGAATAATCCTTTATCAGCCTGTATTTCGAACTTGACATAAAATGATCAAATTTGTTGAAATTATTGCTGAGAAAGAAGTTGGACAGCTAATGTAATGATCGGTTATTAAAATTAAAACAAGATCAATTACCGCATTGATTAAATAAATGGGTGTGTGTACTTTTCTATGTAATTTACAGTTTCGCGTTCATATTTGTATTATTGAAACTGAAAATGAAAGGGTTGCGGCTTGTGAGGTAAAAAAATTGGGAACCTAGTCTTGAAGAGCATTAAATCGACTTGCCAAGTATGAATGATTCTAGCTGATGGTGAATAATTGGCCAGAGCTACATCAACTGATTTCAGATTATTCTCTATCTCAGGGGTGGGCACACCGCTGCTTGCCAGACTTTTTTTGCGGCTCTTCTCGCTAACGTAAATTATTATCCAAATTTTACTAAGAGAAAAATTTGTGCGATATGTCCTCAATTAAAAAACGAAAGTACGAAGATGAAAACAGAGTTGTCAAGTCAGAATGGGAAAAAGAATACGCATTTACCAGTCAGTAGAATAAACCTTTGTGCCTAATCTGTCATAAGCTATTAAGTCTGAATAAAGTCAGCAATGTTAAACAGCACCATGGAACAAATCATGAAAACTTCTTACGAGACTACCCTCGTAAATCAGCTATAAGGAAACACAAATTAAATGAGCTCAAATTGTGCATGTATTATAATTGCCTTGTTTATCTATTTATTGTTATTAGACTCTTGTGTAAATTTCTTTTCTGTTCATGGTATTTTGATAATATTAATAAATTCACAAATTCTGCGGCTCTTTTAAAGTTCTGACTTGCAGCATGCTATATACTAAAAAATTGTGCCCACCGCTGCTCTATATTATTATAGAAGCCACAAGATCTTTGATCTAATTATCCTATCAATAGATGCCTATTTTAGTCTACCTATGTTGTGTTGCAGTGACCCGCAGCTTTTTCAGTGCTTTGGATCTCTTCAATGATTGACTGTAAGCTGTAGACCCATTCAAATAAAACCAATTAAAACTGTTATGTATGTACATGTGATGTTTGCTGTAAGCAATGTTTCAAACTGCATATAAATTGTCCTGGATGGCGATGATATACTTCTTGGGTGGGTGAGGTGCTCAAAAACATGTCAAAAGTATGATCGGATTACTAATTAAACTTGAATACCTTATGAAGAAAGTTTACCTGTTGGTTTAGTAAATGAAATATTGCGTCACTCTGTAACCTTGTTTATAGGATGGGATTTACATATTTATCCCGGGGGAGAGGAGAGCCGATAAGACGGCTTATCCATATGGCGAACCCCGGCCTCTCGTCTGGTTACCATTCCAAGTCGGGTATGGGATTAGTTATATTGTTTGTTTTCGGAAGCATGGACTTGGTGGCGGAGGAAGCCGTAATCGACCAGCGGTTACGTGAACCACCCAACGACGACGAGAGTCCAGCAATCCTCTCGCACATAACTATCCCTGCATGGGATTCGAACCTGCGAACCCACGCAGAGTAATCAGAGGTGCGGTGGCGAGTGTATTCCTAACGCTTAGCCCGTTGAGCCATACCGCCGCGCTCTAGAGTTAGCTCTAATTTATCTTCAAGAATCAAGAGTGCATCAAAATGGGGCTATTTTGTTTCAACCTTATTTTTGAAAAGCTCATTGGCCATAAAAATACTGTCTGTTGGTTCCTTGGGTGTACATGGATAATCGACCACTTCTATAACAAAATATTTTTGCATTTTTCGTGAGTTGGTGATTGTCTCCCGATCGTATTATTATTATTTATAATCTAATATATCTATATTAATAAGTGACTTCGTTCAATGGATATTTTGAATCAAAACTTGACTTGTTAAAAACTTTTTAACTAAAAATCTTTTATTGTAACGATTGAAAGAGCTCGAAAAATCTCAATGAAATTAGATCAATTGTAGTCCCACACATGTTGGCTTGTATCAAAGCTTGAGAAGATTTTTCGCATAAGCTTGCAGATGTCTAACAAAAACAACAGGGTGCTCCAGAAGTATGCGGACCAAGATGGCGGACATCGGAACGTAACATGGGTAACAGGTTAGGGTTAGGCGATAATTTTTTTCCAATTTTCCCTATTTTAGTCCTATTATCAGTTCGAAGACTAGCCAAAAGCCTCCCATAGTATTAATACCTAAAATTATGGCCTAACCCTAACCTAGTACACATATTATATTCCGATGTCCGCCATCTTGGTTCGCATACTTCGGGAGCCCCAACAACAGATATGTTGTACTGTGAAATTTCAAATTGTTTCTGTGCATTGTTCAAAACAATTATAAGTAAATACAATAATCTGTTTGAATTTTTTGGCCCAAAAAAGAGGGCCCTAGTTTGTTGCACGCAAATTTCATGCATAATATGTTGTGTGTATAACGATTTCAATACAAAATTAATTTACAATTGAAAAGGGTACATGAAAATCTTTGAATACTAGTTTGTAATGTACTCTCCTAAAGTTGGCTTCCAAGTTGTTCAACAATGTTTTTTCTATCGTAACTCGTTCAAGAGTAAATCTGCCAAGATGATGTATCTTCGGAACTTCATAAGGTGAGTCGAAAGCTTTTCTGATTTCTTATTTTATAATCAACCCTTCGATTTGCTACTTTGCGTAGAGTTACCGGTAATAATTCTGCTGTTAGGTCATGGTAAAAAATTACCCTTGAATTTGAGCCCGAACGTGAGATGAACTACTTATCCTATAGCTATTTGTGAATATAATGCAAGGATGCTGTAGCAAGAATAAACATTACTATACTGTGTAATTCAATAGTATTGCTGCACACATTGACATATATGTTTCTGTAATGTTTTATATGGTGAGGGATAACCTCTTCAGATGAGCAAGTCCACGAATTTAGGCTCATAAATTTTGCTTAACATATGTTTAAATTTTTTTTAACAAATTTGTCAGTTTTTCCGACATTGTTGCCAGATTCTGTGTTTTTACTTGAATAAACATGTAGAACCAATTACTATCCACAGGTCTTGTTCTCATTGGTATAAATTGCCTTCTTTTGCCATTCTATATGTTCAACACACATTCTGGCTAAATTGAATAAGTCTGCAGTTTCATACACACTTCTTGATTAATGAATGATTGTAAATGTTTCCCGTTGTCTGTTATTGAAATCGGGAATTTCATGAAGAATTTTCACACAAGAATTGAAATAGTATTTGTGTGGTACCTCATCAACCCAGTAACCCATCCCAAGTAGATGAAATCATTGCATATGTGGCGGTTCATCTGTTTGAATGTGATGTGATTTTGGAGGACTAGTGGACTTCTATACATACCGTAATTCTCTATCTCTAGTACCGTGTTTGCTCGTTTTGTAGCCCGGGCCCATATTTTTTTCAACCAACTCACTAACCGGGCCCTTATTCAAGCACGGGCACTTGTTATTTTCGATTCGACTTTTTCTATGCACCGCAGGTACAAATCCGCAAAAGGAGAAAAGTTTTGCGGCGCCCTATCAATATTGAAACGACGCACTTTGGGGCGTCGCGACGCCCAGTTTGAGAACCATGGTGTTACGTAATCAATGCTATCTGTTATGTACTTGAACGCCAAAGGCGTGAGTGTTATCTACCGGCGCCCAAAATTCAACAGCGTTGTGACAAAAGCGCTTCTTATTTCCTATTGTTCTCTACCACTGAAAAATCAGCTTTTACATTGGGCGGGTATTTAAGCACTGGCCCTTATTTAATTTTATGTTCTGTTCACTCGGGCGGCTATTCAAATGGGCCCTTTATCAAGATCGGGCGGTAAAACGAGCATATACGGTATATTATTAAAAGCAGAAAAAAATTGAAATTTTGCTTATCATTATTTTTGACAACGGGCTTAAATTAAAAATCCTGAAATCATTTTCAAATTCTAAAATCATGATCTGCTGCAAATTGGCTAGCAATTTATTTAAGCTCAGAGCTTGTTAAAAAGAGGTTTTGGATCAGGACATTTCCAATTGAATACTGTACAAAGATAGTAATATCGTACTTTTAGGATACAATTTAGCTTTTTTTTAATTTTAATCATGCATGGTGGTGGGGAATTCCCACTATTTTATACGGGTAACTAGAATAATAGAATAGGATTCTGGAGTGGTTCCCAACCGCCTGTCCGCAAATCATTTTACTGGTCCACGGGAGTTCCCGTCATTCCGTAAATGCGGTAAATTACGTGCAAGCCTATCAATAAGCGAGGTATTATTAGAAGAGTTACAGTTTGACCACTAGTGCAGCTGATCACTATCAGTGCGAAATTCACTAAAATGCCTGAATTCAGTTACCAAGCAATAACAAGCATGATTGACTTTCTTATTCTTTCACTTTCACCGACACTTTTGTTCCAAAATCTCCAGTTATGTATAATTCACCACTTCATGAGAAGAATTTAAATAACTGTTTGGTGAATTTGACAATGAATCCAATTTTGAAGGGTTTTAAATTTTATTTTGGAATTGTGCTCATACTGGCAGTTTGCTTTACCAGTGTACCATATGTTGTTAATAAATTTTTTCCTTATAGCCACATGTTTTCAACAGCGGTTGTTCCTTTCTATTCTTGATCTGAGATGAGAAAAATGTTTCCAATTTTCATCATAACGTTATACATAGGTGCATGCTAATAAATACGATAGCTCTGATTCTATATGGTTCCATAGCTTTCGGCATTCCTGTGGCAACCTGTAACTCTGCCCGAGTTGATTTTTTAACTTCTGAGACAGTATCTTTGTGCCACTATAATTCTATATAGTTGAACTGTCTCTTTGCATGTCAATGTTTGCTGCCTGTAATTTTGCTCAAGAGACCTCTACTTTTGAGTGAGTACGCGTTGCATTGATTTGAGCAAAAACCATTGATTATAACTGGCAATGTAATAAAAAAATTGAATTAGATTTTTTTTAAAATGTGATGTCTCGTCGTAAAAAAGTGTGCACTTGGAAATTATGGGTCTCCATACCAAAAAGTCAATGTCTTCAATCTACTTTGAACTATTTCAAAGTATATGTTAAGAATACAAACATTTATAGGGGCTCCCGAAGTATGCGTAACAAGATGGCGGACATCGGAATGAAATATTTGTACTAGGTTAGGGTTAGGCCATAATTTTAGGTATAAATACTACGGGAGGCTCTTGGCTAGTCTTCGAACTGATAATAGGACTAAAATAAGGAAAATTGGAAAAAAATTATTGCCTAACCCTCCCCTGTTACGTTCCGATGTCCGCCATCTTGGTTAGCATACTTCGGGAGCACCCATTGATATAATAGAGATTTGATAATTAGAGAAAAAGCTGTTGAACATCTAAAATAACTGCAGCGTGAGTAACACAGCGTGTATTGCCATTATTTACTTCTCGTACCAGTTCAAGCTATTTTTTGCTAGTGTATCAAACTTCTGAAATCTACAGTGATAACTTATCCACTTTCAAAGAGATCCTGAAAAGTCAGGTAAGTTTTTTTTCTGTAATATCTTGCTATACTTAGATGATTAACTTCAGTGATTGGGTAACTTACGCAACAATTTTTTGAATCGATATCACTCGAACTGTGGAAAGTTTTGCAAATTCTTGTTGGAAATAACATACCAATAGCTTTTAAGTGTGCGGTATCTGAAGATGGTAGAAGTCACTATAGGGCACCGCAACCTGATTTTTTGTGGCCCGAGCGACTTCACTTTTAATTCATGAATACAAAAAAAAGTGAAAATTAATGTGGCCCGCCTGCTATCAAAAATATGTATATGCCCAGTAGTACAAAAAGTTTGCCGGTCCCTGCCATAAGGCTTTTATGATTTTTGAGACTAGAGTGCCAATTAAATGGAGGGTCGTGATGATTCACCCCAAACTCTGCTTCAGGTATACAGCGCCTTACGGCCTTTTCCTTTAACATTTTGCTGACATAACTTCCAGAACACCTTCATGTGGCGTTCAGTTTAATTTTTTATTAACATTTTGCTGATGTAGCTTTGATCATTTGACTTTTGCACCCATTCTCCTATTATTATTATTATGTCCAGAAAGCTATGGTCAAGAAACACAGTGGTATGCAATCTATCACAGTAGCCTACTGGTGTTGAAAAGTAATTTGAGTACCGTATATGCTCGTTTTATCGCCCGATCTTGATTAAGTGCCCGTTTGAATAGCCGCCCGTGTGAACAGAACATAAAAATAAATAAGGGCCGGTGCTTGAATACCCGCCCAATGTAAAAGCTGATTTTTCAGTGGCAGAGAACAATAGGAAATAAGAAGCGCTTTTGTCACAACGCTGTTGAATTCTAAGCGCCGGTAGATAACGCTCACGCCTTAGGCGTTCAAGTACATAACAGATAGCATTGATTACGAAACACCATGGTTCTCAACTCAACATGGTCGCGACGCCCAAGTGCGTCGTTTCAATATTGATAGGGCGTCGCAAAATTTTTCTTTTTTTGCGAATTTGTACCTGCGGTGCGTAGAAAAAGTCAAAATTTTCGTTATTCTCGTTTAAATCATACTTGAGAACTGGTAATACCAATATATTAATTATTGTAACGATCGAAATAACAAGCGCCCGTGCTTGAATAAGGGCCCGGTTAGTGAGTCGGTTGAAAAAATATGGGCCCGGGCTACAAAATGAGCAAATACGGTATGCTGGAATTCAGTGATGACTTTTGATACCATTTGAAATCGGTGTAATGATATACCTAACACTTGTATGGATATTGTTTCCTTTTTCAGGACCTATTTGTTGCATCGTTTGGTATTCTAGGATTCTATGTCTTGACTGAATTTCGAAACTTGTATAAAACGATATTTCAAAACTTTTTTTGAAAATTCATTTCATTGCTGGATTCCAATGCAAAAATTGTATCATTCGTTAATCAGTATTATAACATTTTAGTTGCATCACTGAACAATCCACACACAGATATTTCAAATTGTGTCATGTTCAACTAATAACATAAAAAGCTCAATGAGTTTGAAAATGCTAGTTAAGATTAAAAGTTATTCCATTTTTTCTCTATTTTTTACAGTTAATAGAAATTACCTAAATGGTTATGTGGGTATTTCCTGAAATGGTAATTTTTCATTGGAAATGTTTTAAATGATTCCTAAAATCAAGACTTTAAAATACCAGATAAAATTAATTTAAAATCGTTCAAAATGTTTGATCATTTTTGATATCTCTGAGGAGGACATCTGAATAACTATTGCCGGGCAGTTTCTGTAGGTGAAGAAACATTTAGAAAAAAATATTGTAACATGATTTAAGATAGTACTGCCATAAATTAGTGGTCCCTTGTTTTCACATGATCTTTTTTTTAACTTGTCATCTATTGCCGTATATTGCTCAGAGCGAAATATTATAAAGAGAAAACTTAACAAACATATTGGCTTTTATATAGCAGTAACATTGTAGGTGCTTGTCCAGACGAGAGTGATTGTCACATAAAAAACAATGTTGCTAGATTCTGATTCAATACATTGATGTACTACTGTACTACCCACTTGATTCAGGCGGAATGAAATATGGATTCATGTGTATTCAACTGTGATTCTACATGCGCTTGTATGACTACGTTTTTAGGTCTGTAATTGACAATTATCACTTAATGATAACTCAAACTTCTTTTATGACAAGCGATATTCATAGTGTATTGGTATTATGATCAAAACGATGTGCTTTATTTGATCTCTCTCTGCAAGTGAGAGAAAGTGTTTCATCAAGAATATAATTTAAAGATGGTAAATTGTGTATCAGGTTTGTGAATTTTTCTCCTTAAACATTTTTAGGGGCATTTTGTCTAATTTAATTGTGGGACATTTTTTTTATATTATTTGACTGCAGGCTTCTACAGAATATGGGTGTGAGATTACTTCATATTAAAAATATTTTGGAAATATAATGGGATTCCGACTTGAAAATCATTGTTGTTGACTTTTAGGATATGACAGACATTAGTCTTTTTTAAATAAAATAGCTACCACATTCTTACACAGTTCGGTGAGTTTAAATGTGGTTAAATAGGGAACCATCTTCACTAACCTACGCCATATGCTTCAACATTTTGAAAATGTACATGATACATCGCTCACTACTAACCATAATTTAAACCAGAGTTTCCCAAACTTTTTGGGCCACGGACTCCTGTTTTTAAGGATATTATTTTTACGGAACCACATCCTATACCAATTTATGTGCACAACCAAGGAGGAAGGATAATGTTTCATTTGGATTAAAAACACAAACGATATTAATGTGACTGATCAATTTGTGACAAGCAAACTCGTAGGCCCAACTCGACGACAGCGAACTAATTTAATTGTGTATACTTGGAAAGTCTGTCACGATTAACTTAACTGGTATATGTCAAGGTTCTGCTTTAGGCCCCTTATTCTTTTTTGTTTATACAGTTTATTAGATTTTAGTAAAATTAACTAAATACTATAAATGATTGTTCATACAGACTTTGTATTCAGAATATTAACTAATTGTTCTGTGCACTAAATGTTTTTAAATCGTCATGCACAGGCCACCAATTTTCTAATCGTACAATAAATTTAGGTGTGGTAAAATATGAAGCCATATTTTTTCATGCGTAGTACTTCATATGCTCGGACATTTCCAGGCCTTTGTAAGGGACTGCCTAACAATAAATAAAATTTTCTTTGTTGTTGAACGATGGTTATAGTATATTATTATAGAGGCGTATTGCTTGACGACGCAAGTGCTTTGTGTTTTATTGGATCTGTCTGCGAGCGAAAGAAAACGTTCATCAAGAATATAATTTAAAGATGGTAAAATGTTTACATGTATCAGGTTTGTGCATTTTTCTCATGATTATTTTAATGGGCGCTCCGGAAGTGTGTGTACCAATATGTAACTAATTTTGTTCGCCTACTTTACATCAAGTTGTGTAAAGGGACTGAAACCTATGGGCAGGGGTATATTTACTTGGCTTGGATATATTTACTTGGCTAGCACAAACAGTCCCCGAACTCGTAATAGAACCAAAATAAGGAAAATCGGAATAAATTATTGCCGAATCCTAACCTGAAATCTATGGGCAGGGGTATATTTACTTGGCTTGGATATATTTACTTGGCTAGCACAAACAGTCCCCGAACTCGTAATAGAACCAAAATAAGGAAAATCGGAATAAATTATTGCCGAATCCTAACCTGGTACACATACTACGGGAGTACCTTTCTACGTGCATTTTGTATACTGTATTGTGGAGGATTTGCTTTATATTATTTATTTGTTGTTTTATTTAATGCTTGGCTCTAGCCTCAGCATATGCAAATGCCAAAAATATAATTTGTGTAAAACTCTTATGTGTGAGATGATTTTAGGACTCTTAGCTGCCAAAAAGATGTGGATGTGACAATTACCCATGAATTGGCTTGTTTATCTCATTACTGAATTAAATAGGGACTGATAAATTTAGCATCCCATAATTTATATGAAGTTAGCTCAACTTTGTTGCAATTGTCAGCAAACGATTCTTTTTATAATTGCTAAACAGCCCTTTTGTTATTTGCTTGCTTATAGGATAACTTTGTGAATTTGTATAATAACTCGTTTAAGACTAATCTTGTTTGTGGCAAAAGTTGAGGACACTATTCATTGTATCCCCATAAAGTTCACGGATTCGACTTTGGATTCCTTTTGAAAGCAATTTTCTCAAAGCAAGGTCTCGCAGTAGTAAATAATGGCGACTAATCTGTGAGCAAAGTTATAAACAACCACTAAATTGTCAAGACCCTATGTAGGCCTAGCTATTGAATAAGACCCACATATGTAAGCAAAGTTATGGATGCCCGCTAGAATATATCTTCATAACCATATAGAATCATTGAAACCATATATGAAGCTGTTCAAGTCGATATATTGTATAAGAAATTTAATCGGGTCTCCTTTCTTCTCATTTAATAATACATAAGTTGGATATGTTTTATTCTCTCACGCTCTGTGTTAAAAATAAGATAGGATTTACATGTTTATCCTGGGGAAGCGGAGAGCCAACAAGACTGCTTTATCGTAAGGTGAACCCTGTCTCTCGACCAGTCCAGTCGAGTATGGGATTAGTTAGCCAGTTATTTGTTTTCGGAAGCATGGACCTAATGGTGGAGGAAGTCGTAACGACGACGAGGAGTCCAGCAATCCTCTTGCTCATATGGAACTATCACCGCTAGGAAACCTGCGAACCCACAAGTGGTAATCAAGAAGTGCAGTGGCGAGCGTATTAGCATGATGAGCCACAATGCCGACCCTAATGCTTTAATACAACACAGACTATCTTAGCGATGCAAGAAATGTTGACTTCTTTGAGTTGGAAATGTGAATCATTCCATCAACTTGTCTTTGACAATTCATGTGGTAATTGATTTCAAATATAAAAAAAATAATTTTCAAGTTTTGTACTGTCTTATATAAAGTATAGCTAACTAAAACTGATACATAGTACTTTGGATAACAAAACTTTTTCATTGTCGTGTGCAATTTTCTATATAATAGGAGGTTGATAATATGATGTATTTGCTTTGAGAAAGTTGTTGCTCTAACTAAAATATGGAGCAGGATAATTATGACTTCTGTTACCTGTGTGTAGTAGTCTATGCATTTTAAATGGTCTGTGGTTGTATGTGTCGAATTTATTTACGAAAAAGGCTATCCTGTGGTATACCTCAAGCAAGGTTCTACATTGGGTCCTTAACTCTTTTTGTTTATAAAGTTTCCATTGGAGTGTTTCAAAATATTTTAGGGAATCTTGTTCACAGAGACTTTGTAAATTATATTTTAACAAATTCTTGTGTGTAATGACTCCTTTTAATCTGTAGGACGTCAGGCCACACTCTGTAAAGTCCTGTCCATTTTCCACTTCTAATATGAAGAAAATTCTTGGGAATTCAACGATGATAAAAAATGACGAGACTTTTTACAACATTTGTTCCAATTTTAAACAAAAAGGGACAAGATCATGTTGCAGAAAGGAAACTTGTGAGTTTTTATATGATTGATGCTTATTTATGCTTTCTGCTCCAAACGAGGCCCATAACCAGTAGTTCCCAAAGTTAATTGACCGGTGGAAAAATTAAAAGCGAAGGTATATTCGCAAGCCAGGTGAGTGGTGTGCCTGCAGGGGACCGATATCAGTATGATTGAATTGTTACGTATATACACATGCTTAAAACTGTGATAATGAAGTAACAGTTGGTGGTATCAAGAACGCAAAAAGAAAAAAAAACAAAGTGTTGAGTTATTCTTCTTACATTCAACGGGCCCACTTACATTCAGCGGCTCGTATTAAATCAGTACGCGGGCCTTAACTGGCTCACAGGCCGCGGTTTGGGAACCACTGTCCTGTACAATTAATTAATAATATCTAACAATATGTAAGAGGCGACTTTTTTTTGAAGGACTGGCCCATGGTGTCCACCTTTTTATTGATTTTTCAATCTTTTTTTGATAAGGTAATATTTAATTATATGGTGTGTCCTCTTGCCTGATTGCCAGTCCTGTTAGCTATAGCGTAGGATTAATCAAATTAATCATAATCAGGTGTTTATTTTGATTTGGGGACTGTTTTTTATATTCATCTTGATTTATAGTACAAGTTTAATGTTGGTAAGGACAAATACCACAATTACGATTCAAAATTAGAAGAGTTCATAGCTGCGCCTATGACACATATATGGGTTTATCTTTGCAATCTACTGTCAGTAGATAATAGATAATCCTTCATATTGGTACACACACATAGTTCTGGAGCGTCAGGAAAACAGCTAATAATCAGCTTTTTTTAGCTCCTGGCAATAAATCTTCAACTTCAGACTCTTCCAGTTTTTACAACCTTTTACCTCACTGTCCGAGCATAGAATCCTGCCAAACTATTTCTGATTGGAAATTCCAGATGCTAACAAGTAAAATTAATAGGTTTGTTGTATTATCTTATTCTTTATGCTGCATAGAAAGCCAGTCAGAAGGTGATTTGGGCTATATATCTTTTCTTAACCCTCTACCAGTGGCTTTCAAACTTTTTAAGCCGTGACCACTGGTTTGAACTAGTCAAGTCTCGGACCCCAACTCAAAAATAACTAATGGAAATCATATATGAAGCTGTTCAAGTCGATATATTGTATAAGAAATTTAATCGGGTCTCCTTCTCATTTAGTAATACATAAGTTGGATGTGTATTATTCTTTCACGCTCTGTGTTAATAATAAGATAGGATTTACATGTTTATCCTGGGGGAGTGGAGAGCCAACAAGACTGCTTTATCATAAGGTGAACCCTGTCAAATAATGGATAGTAAAGCGAAAGTATAATTTATACAAAAAATACACTGAAAATACAAGGATAGAACGTAAATATTCGAAGTAAAAAAATTTAAATATCTAAAATAGGGCAGACAAGAGAAAATCTAACGACTAACAACTGGTCTACGGAGAAGGCCGTTCATTATGTACATCTTCCATTATGCCTAAGTGCTCAATTTATTCAAACCAAGCTTTCTTTTTCATTTAGGATGTTTGCCAAGAAAACCTTGAAGACTCCTGAACTTGTATTGTACTTCCTGCCTATTGGTCCATTTCCTGAATTTGCTCATGAGTTCAAATGTCAAGAGTCAAATGAGTCCCTCTTTCAACTGTTAATAGCTTTTATAAAGTATGCTGTTTTATTTTTTTATTTATTTGAAAATGCTGATGTTGAAATTGTCAAACGATAATATCAACAATCGAAGTACAATCGAATTTTAAAATTGCCACGCTAAAGTAGGACGGCATTTTGGAGAAGCTGTTATTGTCCAAACAGTATTGCTTTGAACTGTGTTCAGTAATTGATGAACGAAGGTTGTATTGTACTATCATGATTCTGCTCGTTCAGAGATGACTCACCTTACTTCTGAGTCAGTACACATAGCTCTTGACATTTCATTGGTCAACCAGAACTTTGTTTCGAGATGAATCTCACTTACCGTATATCTTCTTATCTATGCCGAGATAAAAAGCCAAACTAAAGGTTCGGCTTATACGCATATGACTGTGATCGAATTAGGAGGATTTGGAGACAATTCTTTCCGTTTTCAATAAAAGTGAAACATAACAATAATGGTTATCATTTTCATTAATTCTCTTCTGCAACCATTTGCTGTGATAGGTGCGTACGGCGTGTTACGATTTGTAGGGACAGCTTATATGCGAAGTTTATAAATTATCGTTTTTTATCGGCTTATATGTAAAGATATATGTACATCTGAGTGCCTGCCCTGCTTGCGAAAAAATTTTCTTAGAAAAAATTGAACATTGGATATATTTTTCCTCTAGATCTTTCTTTCCTGGTTGCATCATACGGCATATACCAGAAGTCAGTATTTCAGAAATAAAAGCGAGAAATCGAATCCATGAATTGACTGGAAAACCTCAATATCTTGTTTCAGATTTGTTATTATTCCTGCAGTAAGTATTCTGTTCACAGTTCTTAATCAATTTCAAATAAAAAATCACTCACCCTCAAAACTTATAATATAATAAAAATTATGCGTTGAAAGGAATTGCGACTAGCGGTATCAGATATTCAGCCACATTATGATGCAAATGTGCACAAAAACAAGCCCATGTGTAGCATTGATTAAATAAATGTTCTTTTCTTTTAAATGTGATTTGTATCACCGAAAGTAAATGCTCATTTCTGCATAGTTCTGAAGGAATGAAAAAAAATAATAATATGTGATTCAAATATTTTGCGATATATTCGTTTTGATTCTTGAGAGAGAGTGTACTTGCTACTCAGCCACATACTCTTAAAAATTCTCTGCATTGTGCTATTTCAACCAATTCTTGTGCATAATAAAAATTTTCCATATTTTTCGTAAGATAAAGAACTCTTTGGTTTGAATATAACCAATTTTGTATGTATTCAAATATCTGATTTGGCCATCCTTACCGTGTAGCCACTGGGAACATGTTTATTAATACTTTTCATTTCTTCAGGAAACAGTTACCACAAAATGGATTTGCTATCATTGGTTTAACATGGCATGATATGTTTCCTTGTGATAAGTTGAACTTCATATTGGGACAGGTAGGAATGTTTCACTTTTCACAGTCATTCGATAAGGTGACTCAATTATATCACCCCTTTTCTTGGTCTGGTATGGGAATTCTGAATAGTTGCTAATCAATGTAATGCTATCAGGTGCAATGTCCGAGTATTGACTTATTTTTGGAGATGTATCCGACCAGCAGAATGTGGACTAGCTCGTTTTGAACAGTATATTCTGGTGTGGATAATGCTTGAGGATTCACAGTATCTATTTTAGCCAACGATTCGTTATTGGACACGTAGTGGACATAAAGATCGTTTCAATATTATGTTGTTCTTGTTATTTGACACAGAATAACACACCTAGTGGAAATATTGAAAAAAAAACGTTTTTCTCTTCGAATACTGGACCAATTGCTTTGAAATTTTCAGTGGTTGAAGATAAAATTTTTCCCCAGAAGGCTATTACTTTTATTCATCTTAAATATTTCTGTTAGCTCTGTGAGATTTGTTTTTGTTTGCTATGACGTCATTAAACGTTCTGCGGACATCGGACGCCGTTTTGTGTCCTACTGTACTGCTTCGCTTGGTGTGAATATATTTGTAGACAGTACGGTTCATATATTTGGGCGTAGCTCTCTTGTTTTCATTAATATACATAACTGAAATTTATATTCATAAAATCTATTGTTGTAATTGTAATACAGCAGGCACAAGGGTGGGAGGATGAAACACTCCATTGGGCCAGATCCGGCCCAATGGGCCCTAATTTGCCCGCCCCTGATTCCATTTGTCATTCAATTTTATCATCATATTGTCTTATAGGGTAGTTCCCAACACTCAGCTTGCATATCAAGTTTTGGTAGGTTTGATCCAAATTATGTGAAGGGGTTCAAAGGTCAACAGGAAGGAATCCTACCTCAGGAAATGAAAGATGTCACAGAAATCAATGGAGATGTTTTATGGAAATTAATGAAGGTTTGTTTCTATTTCATTTTTTCGAATTTCAGTGTTTGAGTGGGTGCTCTTAACATTACTAAGAATAAATTTCCTTGGTCTCAGAGTCAATGCTCTTTGCTTTGAGCAAATGCCCTCCAAAACAAAAATTGTAGGATTGTCAATAGTCTTGAGGATTGGGTTAAAAAAATTGATAATGCCCAAAGCAAAGGGTTATAACCTCCATTGAAGAGTTCGAAAACATAGCATGCTCTCTGTATGGATTGTGACAGAATAGTCAGTTTGGGGCCGCAATGGAACTTTTTAATATACAGGGTGTCCAAAAACGTTTGCTTGGCACATGCAAACCTCCTTTGATAGACTGTTAAGAACATGCAGAAAGCATTTACCACATCTGGGCTGCTTTAAAGCAATGGTTCCCAAACTGCCAGCTTTTTTGTAATTTAATATGGCCCGCCGAACTTGAGTGAAATAATACTGCCAATTGTTACGTCGTTATCACAGTTTAAGCATGCGTGTATATTCGTGACAATTTTTTCTACTGTATCTTAATTATACGTACCCATATCAGCTCCTTGCGCTCCCTTCTCTCGGCTTGGAATATCCTTCCACTTCTAATTTTGGCCTCCAGTCAATCTATTTTGGGAACCACTGCTTTGAGCTTAATTTGTCTATTAAGAATTCTCATTACAGGTAATCAGCCACGAGACTTGTCATGTATTTGGGATTTCTCATTGCAATGTGTTCGAATGTTTGATGAACGCCAGCTCATCTACTGGTGAAGCATTAACACAACCTTTGCAGCTATGTCCACTGTGTTTAAGTAAACTTCAACATCTGCAAATAACTTTGAGGTCTTTTGCCAAACGGGATGAAGTCACTGTAAGTGTATTTTTGAGATAAAATTGCTCAGAAGGGTCACAACTGAGAAGTAAAGGATTTCTATCTGGGTTAAGTCATGGACAATCACTCAGAAATAAAAGAGACTCATCTCTGAGTAGAGTCACAGGCGCTCACTTAGAAGTAAGGGTCTCATCTCTTTCTCATCAGATTCATCTCTGAGCAAAGTTATGGGCGATCACTCAGAAGTAAATGGGACCCATCTCTAAATGAAGTTATGGGAACTCACTCAGAAGTAAAGGAGACTCATCTCTGAGTAAAGTTATGGGCACTCACTCAGAAGTAAAGGAGACTCATCTCTGAGCAAAGTTATGGGCACTCACTCAGAGAAGTAAAGTAGACTCATCTCTGAGTAAAGTTATGGGCACTCACTCCGAAGTAAAGGAGACTCATCTCTGAGTAAAGTTATGGGCACTCACTCAGAAGTAAAGGAGACTCATCTCTGAGTAAAGTTATTGGCACCCACTTAGATAAGTAAAGGAGACTCATCTCTGAGTAGAGTTATTGGCACTCACTCAGAAGTAAAGGAGACTTATCTCTGAGTAAAGTTATTGGCACCCACTCAGATAAGTAAAGGAGACTCATCTCTGAGTAAAGTTATGGGCACTCACTCAGAGAAGTGAAGGAGACTCATCTCTGAGAAAAGTTATTGGCACTCACTCAGAAGTAAAGGAGACTCATCTCTGAGAAAAGTTATTGGCACTCACTCAGAAGTAAAGGAGACTCATCTCTGAGTAAAGTTATTGGCACTCACTCAGAAGTAAAGGAGACTCATCTCTGAGTGAAGTTATGGGCACTCACTCAGAGAAGTAAAGGAGACTCATCTTTGAGTAAAGTTACGGGCACTCACTTAGAAGTAAAGGAGACTCATCTCTTAGTGAAGCTACAGACGCTCACTTAGAAATGAAGAAGAATCCTGTCTGCGCAACATTACAGATACCCACTGAAATCGTAAGAGCTAATGAAATTATATGGATTAATCGAGGTGCATTACACTCATTTTTCTCAAAGCGAGTTCACACACCCGCACTGTGTAGGTGGACGTGGACTGTTTGTTTTAGCTAAGTGAATATAGCTCCTGCTCATAGGTTTCAGTCTCTTTACACAACTTGATGTAGAGTAGGCAAACAAAATTAATTACCTCCATATTGTTACACACACTTCTGGAGCGCCTATCTGGGAGCAAAATTACAGGGAACCTCTGAAATACCATTGTGTAGCAGTATATGTTGGTTGCCATGAATGTCGAGCAGCTCAATTTAACACCATCAGATGGATTAGTATTGTTTCTATATATAGGGTGTCCATAAAGTCTTAAAATACTTTAAAATTGCAAAGCGTATATATTGATACCATATATTGTTTTGGCCCTCACAGATGTATTAAATGAAGTAAAAATACTTAACAATTACTGATTTAAAAAAACAAACCTGGTTAAGGTATATTGAGAACTGGTTTCATAACAAAATTGAAATTGTAACAAGACTTTATGAACACCCTGTATGTCGAATAGGGGTATCACATTCGTAAACAAGATTGTACAAATATCGCATGCTTTTGTGTAAAACTAAATTGTTTTTCACAGGTCCGTGGTCATTTCTCATCTTTGTTAAATTTTCTTCAAACGACCTTTGACCCTGAGACTTCTCCAGACCTCACAAATCAAAAAATACAAGACACCATCGGGTGGTTGAAAAATATGATCGAATACTTGGATTCATAAGTTTATACTCAGTTTTTGAGTTCTAATTAATTTGACTCCAACGCCAAAAAAACATTCAAACCTTGTGTGGGAAATTATGCACTAGACCAGTGGCTCTCAACCTTTTATGGCTTCCAGAGGGTTTCAGCACTTTTGTCCCCTCAATCCAGGAGTATTGATAGTGTTATTATGATTGGTAGATTCTAAATCCCATTATGTTCAAGCAAGTCATGCTTGTGAACACACCAAATAACCTTATAAAGAAATGAAATTAGGAAGTACAAGAGTTTTCTTGTGAAGTGAAAAGTAAAATCAGTTTTCTCCTAGCATTGTGGTCCCCTTAAACTGCTCTGTGCGCCCCCCATGGTTGGGAACCGTCGCATTATACGATTTCTGGACTATTCACCATTAGTTTGACAATTGGCGTTAAGATCGTACTTGTCATTTCATCTCTGATTACTTTATGCTTGGGTTCGCAAGTTAGAATTCTGTTCGGGATAGTTATGTGGAAGAGGATTGCTGCTTCTTTCTTGTTGCTAAACTTTTCGGCTTTGTCCGCCATCTAAAATGAATGATTATCAAGACTGGTAACGGGATAAGAGGCGCCATACAATTTAATCAGTTGTTCCCAAACTGCATCCATGGCCATTGTAACGATTTAATAAGGGCCAGCCGAGCTCCGAAATAGTTTAATACTTTATGCTTTTTGACTTCTTGTGTTCTAAATACCATCCAATTGTCACATCATTATCAAAGTTCAAGCATGTGTATATTTGTAACACGTCAATTATACCGGTAGGCGGTATCTTAATTATACGTACCGGCTCTTCCCATCCACTGGCCCGTGAATTCAATTATATCGATATTTTAATTTAACGTACTGTTACTGGACCCTTGTGGCGCCCCCTCTCCTGGCCCACGAATATCTTTCCACTTCTAATTTTGGCCCCCCCGCTGTCTCTCCCGGGATGAATATAAAAATCTAGAAGGTTGTGTATGTAGTACTTATATATTTCATTGCTCTTCAGTACATGTATCACACAATCTTACTTTCGGGCAATATGCATCATCTTATTATAATATGCAATTTTTTAATAAAGAGTATATTTTTGTAATACTGACTTGTGCTATAATGTGGGAAGATCAGGTTTTGGGAAGATCGGTGTTGAGATTCAGGTTGTTGACATGAACCTGAATGTTGCGATAGTCAGCAAAGCTGTTGTTGTATTGGACGTTAAGCGTCCACAGCCAAGTTAAATATGTATAAGCTTACGAAGGGGTTTCTCTGAAGAGGTGAGTTTGATACAAAAGATAAACCTTGAAATTTTGAAAGCCAGCAGCAGTAACTATAGAAGAAATATGTATCTCGGTCATAAGATCCGCATAAATGTTTAGTTGAGGGTTCGCCCACTATCCTTGCCTAACCAATTGACTGGGGACCTGGCTAAAATGGTCGGATCACTAATAAATGAGGCTGTGTTTAGAGATTTAAACTTGAATGTTCGGTGCTTCAATATGGAGGTAACTAATTTTGTTCGCCTACTTTACATCAAGGGATGGAATCGGAATAGAATTATGCACGAACCTGGTACACGCATTACAGGAGTACTGAATGCTCTCACCCCTTTTCTTTGTGTGCAACCCTGACACAAGCAAAAGAATGCTTTATAGTTCGAAAGCTAGACGGCCAAAATATCACAATATTTTTTTATTGAAATCATTTATGTGGCCAGCGATTAGGTAACAAAAACAAACAAAATAGCACACACTGGCTAGAAAAAGTCCAAACAAGGGCCCAAAGTAGATATATGGCCATGATTGCCAACCTCTAAACATGAGGTGAGCTTTTTAGATGGTCGCTAAAGCATTTGCATATAGCAGTTTTAATCTGCAGAATGGGGGTTGTAATTTCAAAAAGTGGCATGAAAATCTTATAAGTAGTTGTTCATTTATTTATATAAATAAAGCCAGTATATTCAGAAATTTGAAATCTAACAGTATTCAGCAAACTTACCATCAAAAAGTGCAACCAGTCAAAATTAGGAAAATTCATTTAGGACTGGTGTCTTCCAAAATGCTTTTATCACAATTCTGTGTTTTCCTAAAACAGCTGATATTTTTATATCCACTGCACTCTAAATTATGTGAAACCAGTCAGAACTCAATTGGCATGATTTTATAAAAAGTTTAATCACAAGTTTGTGTCCATAAATTAGCCATCTTGCTTTTCGTCAAGAGTCCGGCTTGTAATACGTTCTACATCTTTCATAAAAAGCCTTCTCCGCTCGTTCCCAGACAATTTCTTCTACATTGAGTTCTTGTTGGAAGAGACGAAGCTATAATATGAAAGGTTTGACATAAGAACTTAGAAAAGTAATCGGCAGATTTGGATTTTTATATTTGTCCCGAAGTACAGGAAAGATGATAAGCAAACCACAGCCTTTCATCTGGTTACCAGATCATGTCAGGCATGGGATTAGTTAACCAGTTATTTTGTTTTCAGATGCATGGACTTGATGGCTCGTGGGTTAAAGATTTTGTATGATATTGAACTTTTTTTTAATTATTACTAAAATCATGAGAGTCATTAGTCACACACACAAATGAGATCAAAGCATATATATTATTGAAAAAGATTTTATATAATATGGTTGTTAATTAAGAATAGATTTTGATATCCTGTTCGTTTAGACATCTCTGGTGTAACCCTTGACTTTATAGCCACGTACACAGCAAAAACAGAAACTTACATTTCCTTGTTCTTTCCTTAAATTCTTTGATATTTTATAATTCTCCGGATCTTTATCTCTTTGCTGCTTCAAATTTTTTGCTTTGTCAGCTGTTTCTTGGATACATGCTGTGATGTCATTTATTCTGCCAGAGTGGCCAGTTCTCATCTGAGAATAACATAGGTTTTATGTATACATACCATACATGGACTAGAAAACACACAAGTAGCTGCACTTTGCTATTCAGTATAGGATTTCATATTTATACGAAGGAGGGTAATAAGATAATATGGCTTGATTATACGGCACACCACAGTAAGCTCAAATTAAAAGTCCATGTCAGGTATGAGTTTAGTTAGCCAGATTTATATCTCTTGAGTTGACATAATTATCCCTCAACTGGATTTGAACTTCCAAACCATACAGGTAGTCAGATACACAAGGACACAACATATTTCCAATGACTAGCCCGGTACACCGACCGACAAGGACTGGCACAAATTCTTGCTTAAAATACCAACATTGAACACAACATACCGTGTGATATAAATCTTTGCATTGTGAAGTGAAATTGACTTTTCCTGCAAATTCTTCTTTTGGAAATAATGAGTTTAGTTCATGAATGATTCTGTCATCAGTTTGTCGCCTTTCCTTCAACTTTTCCTGAAAAATGGTTCAGATTTTGTTTTTGCTAATCAGTACTTCACAAAGATAGATAACAATAATGAAAATGATAAGGGTTCAAATCCCATGTAGGGTTAATTATGTGCAAGAGAATTGCCTGCATTCAGTCAGTAGTTTATTTTATCACAAACCGAATGTAAACATTGACGAACAAAATTAAGAAAAATAAAAAATTACATTTCAGTGTGAAGGGAGACGCGATAACCAGAGATGGTTATCGAGCAGCGTCACCTATGAGGGAGTGAATCTAATATCAAATCATAATGAGAAAGGAGTCAAACATAAAATACTAACAAAAGCCAGACTTGAGACGCCTTTAAGCGACCCGGTAACCCGGATAATTAACGAAAGAAAGCAACTCCAGACACGACAGGCCGCGGTCGCCATGGGGACCGCAGATCATTGAACAACCAACCAAGAGTGTCGGTGGTTATTTGCGTCGCCGTAGAATGGTTCACATGAACTGGGGGTCGTAACCCGGGATAAATATGTAATTTCCATCCTATTTCCAGTTTATGTCCCTTTTCTAGGTAAGTTCACAAGCACTCACTGCGTAGGTCACAAGCGAAACCATTGAAATGCCAAGAACTACTATAATTATGAAGCATTACACACATCTACAAGAAGTAAAGAGTGCTCATCTGGGCAAGTGCAGTTTTAAGTATTCTGTGGCGTCTGCAGATGCCGCAAAACCATGGCGGTATTTCCATACCATGGCCGCTACAGCCAAACCTATGGCGACTGACTTTTTAGCTGCCACAAACCAATGTCGAGCTGCCGTTACCCCGGCAGCAAATTGAAAACCAATGGCAGGTAAAATTTTGCTGCCGTAACCATGGCAGGTGGGCCGTAAAGACAGGGCTGTCCCTTATGGTGACAAATATTGGGCAAGTTGGAACGTTTTTCTTATGGATACAGTTTTGATGGATTTGGGGTTAGGGTTTAAGTAGATATAATTCCACATGATCAATTAAAATCTGGTACATTCATTTGTGAATATACAGTTAATACTGATACTGTTAATACTGAATATACAGTTAATACTGAATAGCGCTATAAAACCATGGCAAGAGCTGCCGCGGTTCGTTCGTGGCAGGAGCTGCCATGAAGTGATAAGAACTGCGCCTCCATCTGGGAGCAAAATACATGATGAGTCCAAGTAAAAATATATATTTTGATTCTTCGCAAGTCGAGTCCAATCCCATCATCTCACTACAAGTGTGAACATTACTGAAATTGAGTACTCCAAAAATAGGGTGCAGTTCACTAAACAAGTTCCCTTTAAAATAATATGGCGGGTACCAGGTAATCCTGTAATCAGAACATGCGATTATGCGAAGGACCAGTGCCAAGAGAGATGATTGGAATTGAGAAACACTGTCACAATTCGGCTTAAATGTTAATAATTAATGCACTAACGATGGTTGACAAGGAATGCAGTGACGGGTTGTGGAATGGCCTGAACATAGTACTGTAGTATGCCAGCTTCTTGCACATGTTCAGAGCGAAAAGGGTGAATCAGCCAGCACCAAATGGAAAAATTCCTTTGGATAGACTCAAGTCTCCCAACAATGAATATATGGCAGCCCTCTGTTTGATAATCAGTTTAGTAGGTTCATTCCTTCATTAAATTGAAATATTTTAGGTTGTTCCTGGTTAATTTACTTTGGGAATTGTGTAATCCCGTCCTATTTTTTATTTTAGAAAGTTGAAGTAGTCTAGTATTACGGAGCATAGAAATCCCAACACTATTATACATAGTTATAATTCTATATAACTTTGCAATGAAGCTTACCATAAAAAGTTGAATATCCGCACATGGCACTCCACTCGGCGCCGCCATCTTTCAAGGAATAACTCGACCTCTGCGTAACTACGCTGTTACCGTACGTGCAATGCGTCTATCGGCAGATCCGCGACAGCCAAAAAAAGTCGTAAAGTCGTACAACACTGCACGGCGAGAAGTTAGGTATATAGGCTATATATTTGTACCACTACAAAATTCAATTTCGAAAACCACAATGCACTCAGTATAGAAATAATAAGTAAGGACAACACACAATCTAGACCAGTGATTCTCAAACTAGGGTTTGAGAGCCACATGCGGCTCTCAACAACCTTTCCTGCGGCTCCCTTTAATGTTTTAAAAATTAATTATTTTCAAAGGAAATTTTTCATTGAAAACTAATCATTGACTCGAAATTAAAATGCTGAAGTCTATTAATTAGTCGAATGGATTCCCCGTGTTTATTTGCGTAGCGTTGACTAACCTATAAGATGCAATAGTGACGCAACAGTGAGCGTTTTCGCGGCCAATCGGACACTTTTCACTTGGAAAGATTTTTAGACATGGCTGTAATCATTGGCTCGCTTTCGTGGATTTTCAGTTTTTGTCGCATTTCCAGATCTTATGTATAAATCAAATAACTCGATGATTATTTTAATTTCTATAGCATTTTAATTTTGTTCCAGTAATCGAAAATAGTCTCGAAAAATGTGGCGATCATTTCAAGCAGCTACTGCACCGTACATCCTCAACGATTACGACCCGCTTTGAAAACTTATCAGAAATCAAAGCCTAAATAAATAGCTGTTCGGCTAGGGTGGGCAAAAATGGAATTTTTTTCGAATCGAATAATTTGAATATTTTTTTTATACATAACAGGGATCCAGAACTTCGGAGGTCGATACTCCATTTGGAAATTAATAGAAACATTAAAAAGTCGGCAATAAAGCGTTTTTTAATGGGTAATTTTATCATAATTGCTGATTGTCTTTGTCACCGCAATCGTTTTGGCGGCGATATCCTAAAGTTGGTATTCTATATTTCCGCCCTTTCTCGTTTTTGCAAGAATAAGCGGTCGCCGAATATCAAAATTTCACATTTCTAGTATACCCTTGCGTTCACATCAGCGACAGCTGTTGAATACATTTAAGGACTAATTTTAGAACCAAATTAATTATATTCTGAGTTTTATCCTCTGCCTTGGATTCGATCTTCCTTATCACCGCTTGTAAATTAACCGTGCATGTTTAAAGTGAACGGTAACCGAGATGCAGATATTTATTATAATGATATTTGAGTTTCTCATGCTTTTCTATGGTGTCCGTGTTATTTTAGTATTGGATAGACAAATTTACGATTGCGTGAATCCTGCATGTTGATTTAAAATAGCGATTGAATAAATTGGCAATAAAGGCATTTCTAGGCCTTTGTGCCTAATAGAGGGTCAGACTCTAATTATACCTAATTCCTTCAAGATTTATCGTTTTTTTTCCAACAAAACAACACCCCGATGGTTATTATAGCTAAAATACTTACTAAGTAATGCTCAATTTTCTTTACGGAATTTTGCAAATTCAGCACTTCGCTTAATGATTTCGATTATGTCATACCTTGAGGCTTAATTATTACTGCCCAAATGCTTCAAAATTTAACAATTGTAATCATTTTCGATGATAATAGACGCAACAATTCGTGAACGAGTCAGTGCTTTAAAGGGAGTAGGACATGACATTTGTTATCCGGTTACAACTTAATGAGTGTTTTCCATACAAATAACTCATACCAGCTTTTGGAAAAACTTTTGGTCATTTTTAAATCCATGCTATTTACATAACTAGAGTGTTTTAACGACCTAAAATCGCCTTTTTCACAATGAAACGCCTAAAAGTCATTTTAACATTTAATTTTAAGCAAGTTTATGTTCGGTAATGCAAGAAATGGCTAATGACATGCCACCAAGCATGCCGAGTGTAAATCTGGGAAATTTATTTCAATTACTTAATCTGGTTTGACGTTTCTAAATTTACGGAACGGTCGGTACGTTTTTTTTTTTGCAAAATGATGAATTGAAAGGATACGTTAGGTGCAAAAATAAGCATATAACACCATAACGCAAAGACGACTTTTCAAATTTTTTCTGATAGCGAGCGCCTTTGGGAAATCTCGCACAATTCACGATTGAGTTGGAGACGCTCGATCGAGTTCGGTGTCCAAGCAGAGCGGCGCAGGTCACGTGGTACCGGATATCCGAATCGTAAAATGCCATTCGAATATTTTATTATTCGAAAATTTTGCCCAGCCCTAGTTGTTACGTGTGTTGTTGTTACGGTGACTTAGTATTTTAATTACGCGCTGAAGGTTTGTTGCTATTTTACCTTGCGTTGTTTGTGTGCGGCTCTGGGACTAAAAAAGTTTGAGAACCACTGATCTAGACTCTAGCAGATCTTACTGATGTACGGCCATAACCTCGACGAATGTTTTGAGTTAACATTGTTTTTCAAATTGAGCAATCACCCTGCGCCGGATTAACTATTAAACAATAAAAGCACGTGCTCAGCAGGGCTGCCACTTTTGCCTCGAAAAGCATCTAGAAACATCCAGATTGAAAAATAAAACATCTAGAAAATACATCTAAATATGAGGTCATTGAAATTAATGAAAAGTACCAATATTACAGTAATATTAGATGTCGAAGAAGCTAACATCATAACCCAGAATTCAATTCCCACCTGCAGAACTTACAAAAGACCTTGTTCTTATCATCTGAAGGGGGAAACCATTCCTTAAGCCAATCTTTTCTAAATTTTTGCTGGTAGTGTATTGGTACACTTTGGCATTTTGAAAAGTTGATGTTTAAAGAGAGACGCATTCAATAGCACTTATAGACTTAAATAACTTAATAATTTTAAAACCCATTGGCAACAATCTCACCGGACCAACGTCGTCCTTTCTATTTAACGTTAATTAAAACGTCACATGTAATGTTTTAAACATGTTTAATTCGTTATTCAAATATTTTAAGTACATATGGCTGTATGGTACAAGTGGACAAATACAATATTATTGGGTTTTATTTATCAATCTTCCATCAATACTTTTAAAAAATGAGACCGAAGACTTATCGATCGAAAGTTAGGGGATACCCCAAAACAGCGCTCTTACTCCATATTGACACCTTGTTTCCAGTTACTAATTAAAAAATAACTCACTAATTATACCTCATAATTCATCCAAAATCAATAGGCTTCTTGTCCGACATATGATGAATGCATATGCAAAATCTGGAGCAGATTCAATCTCGCTTTCGTGAGATATCGCGTGCATCTAACAGACAGATAAACAAACAGACAAATACCTATCAACATACTTACCGATTAAAATCGATAAGTTATAACATTCATTCACCTATTACAGTATTATACACATCTCTTTATTTATTTCCCACTGAATAATATTTAGAACCTTGAAAAAAATATATCTAGATTTTATAGCTAACATCTAGACTCCAAATTTTACATCTAGATCTTGAAAAAAACATCTAGATATAAAACATCTAGTGTGGCAGCCCTGGTGCTCAGGGCACCGAGCAATGAGGGGCACCACAGAAATTTTTATAGCAGAATTTAATAGTTTATCGGTGTTTATTTAAAATATTACGAGTTCACCATACGACTCGAACTTCAAAATGTTTGCTTATTTTTTGTCCTCAAGTATCATATTATCCTTCTTTATCAAAAATAAACACTGAAACTTACTTATTGGACACGAAACGGGCCTATGAGTCGTTCTGTAAATTTTTTTTCCTCCTAGGATTCTCCTTGTTGCTGCATTTTTGTTTTAAAAAAATTTCTTTTCTCTTTAGCATTTGGACCAATGAACTTTTTGCACTATGTGGCGGTTCCACGGTCGCATTTCAACGATCTAGTGGTCAGCGAAGTCGGGAGTTTTTTGATAAGGTAGACCAGGGTTGTGCAAACCCTGTCATGCTGATAGCCTACATTCCGTGCGGCGCACAGAACAATTTTAGCAGAGCGTTTTTGAGTTTGAGTTTTGAATCCCGAGATTCAAAACTTTTTTTCTAATTTTTATTCTATATTAGTAGAAACACTCTTCTGTTTTCAAGCGTGGGTCATGTGACAGTAGTGACAAAAAGCAGAGCCGATTTAACGCCACCCAATCCATTTTTTCAGCAAGGTCCCGAAATACCAAATCAAACGGACTTGGTTGTTATTTGACGATGGCACCAAGCTTGCTCACATTGCAAGTTTATAAATTACTCAAATACGACAATTCGTAATAAAATTATTGTCACAAGGAAAGTGGCATAGGGAAAACACGACGGAAACGTATTTCCTTGTCCATCACACAGTGTCTGATTTGATTTCAAGTAATATCTGTCACGAAAGAATATAATTTGAAGCGACATCAAGCGCGAGATGCGGAAAATACAACGTTAATTTTAGGGAATTAATTTTTAAATAACTGAAGGCTTTATATATATCTTCTAATTCTTCTTTAAAAGAACGCCACCCATGCAACATAATAATGGTCTGATTAGAACGGTAAACTCTCGGGGTTTATTAAATTAAAAGTAAGTAAACTCGCGATATTTCGATCACTTATGGGTTTTCTCCGACTTGCGGCCCGCGAGACTTCCTCAAAAGTTTTTGCGGTCCTTCAACCTAGGAATCTTGAACCACCCTGAGGACTGAGGTAGACTACTAGGTACCGGTAAAATTGCAAAATACAGTTGTGACTTGTATCCTTTGGTATTCCGATTCACGTTGAGACTGGAGGCATGAATCTTTATTGTCACAGTCCTTCAGGATTAGAGCTCAACCGTTATATCGGCCCGATGTTGTGTGTTTGCCGATATATCATATCGGCAGCAAACGGCCGATATATATAGCGGCTATATATAACAGTTAAAAAATCTAAAAATGTTCGTAAAAGTTGTTTTATTTACTGTTGGTTGTGATTATTTTTAATGGATAATACACTTATGTGGTTTATTGTTTTTATAATTAAATTACACATAAGGGGGCACCAAAGTCTTCAGTGCTTAGAGCACCAAAGGGGCATAATCCGCCCCTGCCCTTAAGGTCGGGTCATGAAGCGATTCTATGGGGCCATCAGAAAACCCCTTGACTAGATAACATTTACGTTGGCCACAATTTTAGGCTTTTCATTAATTTAAATGTGGCAAAC